TAGTTTAATAACTTATAAACAAACAAACAGTCCACCTGCAGCAGAGACGTCCTGTCCTCCATCTATAAACACATGTAACACTCAACTGTGACTCACTGCTATATGTTTATATGGTCTAATATCTTATTAACAAACAGTCCACCTACAGCAGAGACGTCCTGTCCACCATCTATAAACTCAGGTAACACTCAACTGTGACTCACTGCTATATGTTTATATAGTCTAATAACTTATAAACAAACAAACAGTCCACCTACAACAGAGACGTCCTGTCCACCATCTATAAACTCAGGTAACACTCAACTGTGACTTCACTTTGACTCCCTGCTATATGTTTATATAGTCTAATAAGGATTGTTTCCTGGTCGTCCATAACAATAATGTTGTAATATGCAACAGTGATTTCCTGTCAAACTCTGTGTCAGCAATTTACACAACAATATTCCATTGTTATTGTTAAAGACACTGCAGCAGAGCAGTTTGCATCAAAGGGCTTGAGTCTTTATTTACACAGAAAAGGATTTAACAAACAGAGTTCTAAACAAACATAGCTCCTCTTAAAGTCTGTCACTAAGACGTAATAAATTGAGATGGCTAACTTGTACTTTACTCAGGTTCAAAGTCCCTGCAGCATTAAGTGAAAAGACAGAAAACCACCACATCTCACTTCTCTGTGTCGCCATTTTCTACAGCACAGTGCAAATTGCATAAAGAATGAGTATGATTTTAAAGAAATACTGCAAATTATAGTTTTTTTTTGTTATTAATTAGCTTATAGAGCAGTAAATCAGTATTTGGTGTGACGACCCTCAATTTAAATCATCTCCTATGTGTTTTCAGACATGTACTGAAGTCCGATCACTTGCGAGGATGCAAATATCCAAGTCATTGGCTCCCGACCTTTTCCTAAATCTTTTCTTCCTGCTCCCTGTAAAATTTCCGGAGAATGTGCGAGTGAGCACATGTGAGAATACAGCTAGAAAATATTTGGAAAATACACAGTGAGCGAGTGGACGTGTCGATATATACGGTTCTCACATGTGACAGATGCCAAACAAGTGGAAGATGCAGACGACTATGTCAACTTGGGAAGACAATTTGATTCAAGAGCTTTTTTGTCGATAAAAGCTTGCACCAGTGCTGTAAACAAAATGTTATTTCCCGCAGGAGTATTTATACGCCGTGTCCTGTCTCCTGCATGCTGGCGCCACCTTGGTTTTTTTTTTTTCAAAATGTAGACTGTCACAAAAAACTAACTAACTAACAAAGAAATGTCCATCAGCTCAACAATCCTCTTATTTCAAGAGATGGAATCAGCAAACTTTCGTAGATTATAATTTTTTAATGCAAACTCTGAATAGACTCCCAAGGCCCTGGAGACGATCAGAGAACATCACTGTATCTGAACTGTCCAGCCTGCAGGAGCTTAACACCCGGCGGTGCCTCTGGAAGCCCATGATGGTCATAATGATCACAGCACACCCACAACAGCCTGATCTCCCTTCTGCCCTCCGGTAGATGGAGGTACAGGACTCCCTGGACTCGTACCATCAGAGTTGAAAATAGCTTTTTCTTCAGGCCTGAGGATGCTTGAATAAATAGTATATTAATACATATCAACCCTGTGCAAGTCAACAGGCTGCATCCACACCCACACACACACACACACTGTGCAATATTTAAGCATTTAAGTATTCAGCCTTCATTGTTATTACATATTTCCTATTTATTTGGTCTTTTTTGGTTTTGGTATCAAGTATTCTTTCTATTGTAAATACACATACAGTATTATTCTATTCACACACAAAAGTTGTGCTTTAAAAATCTCTGGGTCACCAGAAGAAACACATGGAAAGACATTCACTACACCCGACCTTATACATATAAAGACCAAGAGGGAAACAGTGCAAAGGAAAATGAAAAGAATGTTTTTAAAAATGTACAAATATATTTACCATTGGAGCGTTAGATCTAACAAAGAACTCACAGAGAGGCAATTATCAAGTAACATACACAAAGCAACTGGAGGCTGAGGGCAGATTATAGGGCTGCTGTGTTGTGGATAATGGTTCATTTCAGCTTTTTGTAAAAAAACATTTTGCTGTGAAAAGCTCACGTTAATATTATTTATTTTGAAATTCCTAACTGTGGTGTTGCATTCTAACATTCTACCTTGTAGTCTTTTCATCATGGCGCTGGCTGGAGTAAGAGTAATCGAGCTGGCGGGCCTGGCTCCAGCACCGTTCTGTGGCATGATCCTGGCCGACTTCGGGGCCAAGGTGGTCCGTGTTGACCGGACTAAGGTCGCCATGGCTTTGGACACACAGGCGAGGGGGAAACTATCTGTGGCCATTAACCTGAAGACCCAGAAGGGTGTGGACTTGCTGAGGAAGCTCTGCATCCAGTCTGATGTGGTCCTAGAGCCCTATCGTAAAGGTGAGACCCCTGGCCCTTATGTGACACTAACGCAAAGTCCGTTTTAGGTCAAAGTACAGAAGTATTAACAGATACATCACATTGTTTGTTATTTCTCATGTGTAACATTTTGTAGCTGTTTGAGGTGGAATTAGCTTTTATTACTTTATACACATTAAATTAGGAGAGACTTGTAGAGGAACAAATAATAAGGAGTAAATTAGATTGAAATTAAATTTGTTAACATTGTGAGCAGAGAATTAGACTTAGACCCTAGCAGGAAATAGAAGACCTCGGTAGCACTCCTATGAATTATGCGTTTCGAGGAGACTCATGAAAGGCTTCTGATTGGATGGTTGAAGTGGATGACTCGGTGTGGTGCAGGGGTTGAGGTGGGTCTCTTAGCGATGCGGTACTGAGCTGACAGCTGATTGACAGAAGTGGAGAGAGAACATTTGAAACTTTGACAGCTTACAGATGATTGGCTCAAGATGTCAGGTTGTGATTTGAGGAAAAGAGAGAATGAGCTGGTGGAGTCAATAGAGGGCAAGAACTAGAAGATAGAAGATCGCCTTAAATTAGTAATTTTACTCAATATATCCCTAGCCTGGGGGTTTGGCCCCATCCAAAGAACCCAGTCTGACGGGCTGTGAGATAACGAGTAGGGGAGTGCAGACAAAAACCTTGCTACATAATTTGATTTGGCCTTTTCTTTAATTGGTGCTTATTTCCTCCTCAAATAGTCCTTTAAATGAATCCATTTGAGAAGATAATGTCATATTTAAAGATGATGCATTTCACAGACTTTAGAAGACCTGGTTTAAACTGAGCAAGAGCCAACATATACGCAGATGCAGATTTTTATTGTATATCAATCATATTTTGTCGACATACTTGTAACGGCCTAGGTGTGATGGAGAAGCTGGGCCTCGGGCCACAGGAGCTGCTGAAGGAAAACCCTCGGCTGATCTACGCTCGGCTGACAGGATATGGACAGAGTGGGTCTTATTCTACTGCAGCTGGACATGACATCAACTACCTCGCCATGTCAGGTAACAACACACGTGTATATATTTGTGGATGAAAAGAAATGTGTAACTCACTGACACTGTGTGATCTTTGTTTCGACCAAATCGGCTCTACTTTTTATTACCCTCAGAAATGTGTGAAAGAAAAGACTGAATTCCTGTTTGAATGTCAACACTGAGTTTCTATAGTAAACTCTCTACTGACTTGGTGCAGGAATCCAACCTTTTCTTTCACATGGTTTGATTTCCCCATGTACCTGTCTCATCACTTTTGCATTATCACTGACTTTTTGGAAAATGGCAAGAAAAACAACATTTTAAAACCTGACTTCGACCAGCAGTCTTTGAAAGGCTTGCTGTTTTTGTCAAACTCTTTTGAATCTCTTAATCAATCTTTTTGGATTTACCACTAAACATTTGTATTCAACTCAAAGCTAAAAAATAACCACAGCTCAGATTTCTTGTCACCCTTTGTTTCCTGAAACTGTTCGAACGGGACAACCTAGTTTTTATTCAACACCCTAGCTTACATCTTGAAGATGGGAGGAGCAGTTTACTGACTGAAATATTCATTAAATGCATAACACGTCCAAAAAAAAAACTAGAAAATATCCAGAATAATGGTTCTGGATATTTTCCGGGAGGTCAATATTTGTGAAGCGTGGATGATGAAACGATGACAATGTATATTTGATAACAAAGTTTTAGACGTGCATATATTTGCCACTCTTCAGGTACCACTGGAGGGTGATGCAGGTATCCCAACCATATAGTTATTTGACAGCCAAAGCGAGAAGTACTTCCGAGTTTAAATAATGACAGCTGTAAACCACCACAAGCTTTTTTTCTGACCCAGCCCTCATGACTGCAAAACTACAGGTTATTGAGAGCGTTTGTTTTCAATTTTTATATTTTCCTTACATATATACTGTTAAAGTGCCTTTCTGTTCGCCCCATTTTAAATGTTTCCTGTAGTTGTTTATTCACCAGGCAACCCGATTATCAAGATTTGCTGTAAAAAGGGCCTTCGTTCTGCTAATACACTGAAAACAAGCTTTTAGGATCAGTTATTGGACTCAACAATGGTAATATTCAGTGCAGGTATCCCTGAAGTCAATAACTATGAATAAACATATGGAGTGTTCTATTGTAGGAATGTGAAGCATTCGTGATGTCGAACATGACTCACTGGGGGAAAAAATCGGAAAGGCAAACTCCTCCCATGACAACTGGAATCAAGTAAATCACTTTGTTTACCCACGTTTAAAAGAACCCACGAATACTCGCTAATTATAGTGTAAAAGAGGTTTAAAGTAAAGGGGCCGCTAGATTTTTAGAGACACCTGCTAGAGTGAGATTACCTCTTTTCTCCCAGAGAAGAAGAAAGTAGAGAAAGTTCAAGTTAAGAAGGCACTTTACTTAAGTGGTTGATAAAAATCTAATCTTAGAGGTTGTTATAGAAGATGTTATTTACACTTGTGTCCTGTTAGAGCTGCACCGCTTTGTACACAATAGAAACATTCCTGTTTGCAGGGGCTGATAACCTTCCCTTGTTTTTGTTTTTTTTAGATTTTATTACTTCCTGTTTCAATCAGGCACAACGACTAACTGATTCTCCTTTTCATTTTCAGAGCTTATGGTCTGGCCAGAATTCAATTACTCTTCCACCTGCAAGGCTTTCATTCCATTTTGTGTTAAGCTTTTGTCTTATCATTTCCCCAACAGGCCTTTTATCCCGGCTGGGTCGCAGTGGGGAGAAGCCCTATGCTCCACTGAATCTGTTAGCAGACTTCGCTGGCGGTGGTCTGACCTGTGCCCTGGGGATAGTCCTGGCACTGCTGGAGAGGTCAAATTCTGGGAAAGGACAGATCATTGATGCAAACATGGTAAACATATTGTCAGATTGTAGGAAACGTGTGCTGTGGCAGTGAATCAGTGGACCACCAACGGCTCCACAGAACATGTTGATTCGATAGAAACACAAAGAGAAATGTTGTCTTCTTTTAATTTTTCTAAATATGCAAAAACATTTTTCTATAGTGTCAACAAAAAACAACCTTAAGAATATTTTAGTGGGGACGCTTTGCATAAAAAGCAGATGGGTACAGCCTTGGGTGTGGGTTAGGCCACATTCAGACTGACAGCCACCCTCCAGCAAACAGATTGCATGCAAGGTATATTAATGAGGCTGTGTGGCTACAGGTACTAGTGAGGATTAAGTATAAACCAGGTTGAAGATTCATCAAACAACACAAAGTACTTTGTGCTCAGAGGCAAGATTTTACACTTCAGAAATGCAGCAGATAATTAAACAATAAACATTGCTTCACACATCAGTCTTGATGTTGAGTTCTGACCAGAGTCAGAGCTGTTTTCTCCTCCGTGCTTCGTCCCCAATGAATCACAGAGCAACAATGCAAATACAAGGTAGTTGAGCCATTTCAGAAAAGTCCAGTGTGTGTTACTTCTTCAAATGTTTAACCCCACCATTTTCTGGAGTTCTTTTAAAAAGTAGCCCACACTTCATTACAAGTTAGACTGATTGAATTGCAATCAGCAGCAACAAGTGAAAGTAGTCCTGCGGCCCTCGCTCATCTGCTGTATAGAACGACATTTTTTTTCAGGCACAGTTATTTTTTTCTTTCTTTTTGATTGTCCCACTGGGGAAATCAAAGCAAGTGCATCATTTGAATTTGCCCTTGATTACCCTTGGTCTGATCAAGGTGTTTCATTTGTTCAGCAGCTGCAGCAGGACCAGTTTGTGAACATACGGAGACTCACAGACATTATTGAGTAAAGGCAGCGGGTGGCGAATGCAGTCGACGTCAACAGAACGAATAGTTCCTGAAGTGCAGTGTTTTCACAAGCTTTCTTAGGTATTGAACCAGTGATTTGCAACAACTTATTGTTATTGCAGCAGCATGACGTTTCACCGTCTGTGTATATATTCTACTCACAAATCTTATGCTTGAAAAGATCTGCTGCTGGAATCCACTCAAGCATATCAGGTGCTGCTACACTATGAAAAAACGGTGTCTTAAGGCAGACAAATGTGCTTATGGGATTGTAGACGGAAGGTTGTTAGCATTTTTATTGAGTTTTCTCTTCACTGAATGTATGCATGAATGAAAGAATGAACGAATAGAGCGCATATACCTTCTCCAAGGCCCAACAGTGACCTTAAATTCAATCAAGCCACACCACATTTCACACACTCATAGAAAAGAGTCCCCTAAAGGTCAGGGTTTGTTTCATCAAGAGCCATGAATTATTCTCTGAATTATTGGTGAAAATGTTGATAAATGCCTTGCAAGTCCTGCAATGTAAAGAAAGTGAAAAAAAAAAAGTAATGGTTTCTTTCTTGGCTCGTGTCAGATCGTTCCACTAAATTTTGTAAAAATCTGTTTAGTAGCATTTGTGTAATCCTGGCGACAAACAACCAAAAATCAAACCTTTTTTACCATATAATGACAAATGACTTAATCTTAATCATTTAATAATCTGATTAAGATGCAGATTGTGTCTCTAATGCATTATCATATGACATCACTTTCTGACCTTCTGATAATTCCTACCGTATGACCCCAAAATATTTTTTATTCTATATAAGCTTTAGTTTGGGTATTAAGTCATATAGGATGGTATAATTACCTCCACAAAGGAGATTAAGGTTTCATCTGCATTTGTTTGTTGCTTTTGTTTGTTCTGTTAGTTACGCACTGACGGACTTTGTGGAAGGATGCAGTATGGGTCAGAGAGAAACCCATTCAATTTTGGAGGGGCTCAGAGGAGGATCCAGCTTCTTTTTTTCGCTTTCATTTACATTGGATATGATATTTTTTGTTGTTCCTTTTTGGCATTTTCACTGACACCCCGGGACATAATAAATGGATCTTCATGAAAAAAAAATCATCATAGGCATATTTATGGTCCTCTGATATCTATGAGTTTGTGCAATGTGGTACAGCTTAAATTAAATTTAAGCAAACTGTTGGGCCTTGGCGGACTTAAGTGCTCTACTGAGTTCCATTCTAGTTGGGCCCTGCCAGCATGCAGAATAATACATAAATAACAAAATGAACAGCTCTTGTTTTTAGTGAAAACAGGTGCTTTATATTCACTTTACTGTCCTTTGTAATTTACATATCACTTCAGTAATTATGCATAGAAAGTATAATTGAATATATTATTAAAAAATTTAATATAATGTAAAACCTCACCGACCTTGTGTACTCTTCTTCTCCTCGCTCTCTCTGCACTCAGGTGGAAGGAGCTGCATATGTGGGTTCATTTATATGGAAATCTCGTCGTATTGGTATGTGGGACCGTTCTAGAGGGGAGAACATGTTGGACAGCGGAGCGCCGTTCTATGATACGTACCAGACTTCAGATGGAAAATACATGGCTGTAGGTGCCATAGAACCACAGTTCTACAGACAGCTACTTCAAGGTGTGTATTATACTTGTGTGACCCTGTTCAGATCCAGTATTAACATCAGTCCAGAGTGTTAGACAGGCTGCAATTTTTTGTCCGAACCCATCTGAGGATGAAAGAAAAAAACCAACCAAACCCGACAGTCATTATGTTTTTGTGTCCAAACTCGTCCGGATGTTTTCCCCCGATTACAAGCATGTGCAATGTAAAACATTTCAGTAGCTTACCCAAATATCATTTCAAAGTTTCTGTATGAATCCGGCCCAACCTGTCAGGTACACTCTCTCTAGTGTGAACACACCCAAGCATTGCATTGAGGATGCATTTGTTGGCAGTTTGTCCTCACTGTACTAGAGGGTTAAGGACAAAGGAAGTCACATCGTCTAAACAAATAAAATTTGATTGATCGAAATGTATCCTGTGCCACAATTGAAGGACCACCTCTTAACTGCTACAGTCTCTTCCTGGTGTTTCACATACATCGATTGATTTGTGACCACCACCACAATATTAACACTACACCACATATTGATTTTGATTTGTTTCTTCAAATGGGTAAAATCTTACATCTGTGACCGCTCATCACTGAGCTGTCTCCCTCGCTCTATCTCCCCCTCTCACACAGACACACGTTGACAAAGAACACATCTGTCAGTGATTACTGGTTAAAAACATAATTTTCTCTTTGTGCACTGAAAAGATGCACATGGTTATTTGCATATAGAGCAGGGAGGTAAGCTCTCACATGTGGAGACATATTCTAAAACCAGGTGTGAGCTGCCCATGTGGGATCAGATCTGTCAGGACGGATGAAAATACCAGGTCTGAACTGGACCTATTACAGTGGTGGTTTGTCTCACATGTGCTGTACCATGTCAGCAACAATTAAAAAACCCCAAGGGAAGCGAATAGGGCACAGGGAGGGCACAGCATGAAATGAAACGCACGACTCTCCCTCTTGCTCGCCTGTGAAAGAATCGTTAAAGTTTGAGATCCGAAACAAAAAGCAGTTCCTAGGCAACTGGCCACTGTTCGAAATGAAGTATTCATGCCATAAGCAGCCACAATACGATACTGTGATGTGCAATGAAGGGTACATTCTCCAGCAGGTTGGCTTAGGAGAAGGTGTTCACTCTAATCATGTGGACGTGTGCTGGTTCTTGTGTACTATTGATCCTATCGCAAAACACACCGTCCAGAGTAACTATCACATTGTGGCGGTTTCTTCCAGCACAGATCCTCTGCAATAAATAATCCAATGGTGAAAACACTGCCAAAAAAAATTAATTGTATCCACTGAAGTCCAGGACCTGTTAGTCCTCTGTGAGACTTCTGGTTATAAATTCTGGTATATCACACGTGACTGAGCCTTTTGGCCTTTTTGGAAAATGCCATTCAATAAATGGGATAACACAGTTATATCTCCTCCCTGAGTGTCAGTAACAAACTCACTTAGCTTAGAGTTAGCTGTGTCCCACCTGCCTGACTGAAACAACTATGGAAATATTAATGAGATTATTAAAGGTACAGTGTGTAGAATTTTGTGATATCTAGTGTTGAAGTTGCATGTTGCAGCTGAACACCCCTCACCTCACCCTCTCCTTCCAAACATGAAAAATAACCTGTGGTAGCCTTTAATCATCATAAAAACTCAAAAGGTGTTTAGTTTGTCCAGTCTGGACTAATGTAAAAAACATGGCGGCCTCCGTAGAGAGGGTCCCCTCAGTGTAAATATAGAGTATTTAAATATAAAGGGCCTTTTCTGGGGTAAAGAAAACTACAATTCATACAATTTAGATGAAATGAACTAGTGAAAACATCATGAAGATTATTCTTCATTAAATTTCTGCCAATAGTTCCCTTTCACCTAAATCTTACACACTGGACCTTTAATTGTTTCACAATCAAGAGCAACAAAATCGATTAAGGAGCTAAAATACGCTGCTGTATGTTATCTGTAATCAGGTCTAGTTCGACCTCTTATCATCTTTAGCAGAGGTGTGATCATATTATAGGATTCCAGTTTCATGCTGTGATCTCACTTGCAGGATGTCAATAGCATTAGATGATGAGTGACGTGAATACACAAAGTTACAGCAAATGTTAACAGTGATAAACATATAATATAATGAACAGCAACGCCTTGCTACAAGCAGAAACTGCATGAGCTACTAAGAATGGGATGTTGCAATTCTCTCCTCTCGATGGTGGTGGGATGGTTACAGCGTTTGCATTGTGGGGAAACCCTCTGCATCTTCAGCAGGTATCTCAGGTTCATGTGCCTCCTTTACCTCTACGGTTCTGCAGGTGAAGGTCACACAGCTGGCTCTCCTCAGCCAAAACTAATAATTGCATGTTTTTGGTGTGATTCCCTCAAAGGAAGCTTGTACAGTTTTTTTTACCTAATTTCTCTTTAGTGAGTTCACTTTTACAAAACACCGGCAGACACACTGCTAAGTCCAACAGATAATCTCACATCCAAAATACATAGATACATAAAATACTTTACATCTCTAAACGCTGAGATTTCTTTCCCAACTAGAAAAGAAAACTTTGTCACATGATACACGCCTAAAAATGCAGCAACCGATATCACTACAATATATATTTCTAATTTCTTTACCTTTTCAGTCTCTCAGTGCAACAAAATGAAAGGCAGCTCTCACCTTAACGGTCTACGTTACTGAAAGTAATCAGAAATGCAGCAAAAGGCTTTTCTAAAAATAAAGTTGTTTCAGTAATGCAACACAAAACAAAAGTATATATATTCATATGGTACATCTGTAAGATATACTCTCTTGGACCTGTCCTCTGTAAGTTTTCACAATACTTTTTCTCTCCTACATGATGTTCCCTCCCACCGACCTTCCGACATCAGAAAGTAGCAACGACACAGTCTCAGCTCATGTAATTTTGCATTTTTGAAATTTCAATAACTTACATCGCTGAGGTAAATGAAAAAATAACCTTCCAACTGAAAGACTTTGTGAACTTTAGATTTGATATCAGGATTGAACAGCTGGTGCCCACTTCTCTGAGACCTCAGACATTTTTAATTTTACATCCTTTGTTGCTATTGAATCATGGTTTTCCATTAGGCTACATCATTTTTTTCTTTTTCACAGGTTTAGAGTTGGACCCTGCAGAATTGCCTGCTCAGATGAGCATCAGTGATTGGCCAGAGCTGCGACGGATGTTCACGGAGCGTTTTGCCTCAAAGACCCAAGCAGAGTGGGCCGGGATTTTTGATGGGACGGACGCCTGCGTAACACCTGTGTTGTCTTTTGACCAGGTGAGCTCACACCCACATAACCAGGAAAGAGGCTCTTTTGTGAAGGACTCCGATGGGGAGGAAAGCCCCCGCCCAGCCCCGGTGCTCTCTCGGACTCCTGCGGTGCCTTGCCTCACCTCCGACCCTGTTATTGGAGAGCACACAGTCGAGGTCTTGGACGAGTACGGCTTTAAATCAGAAGAGATAAAGCAGATGTTAGCAGCTGGGGTCATAGAGTGTAATGCTGTCAAGGCAAAGCTGTAGAGGAACAAGTGCATGTCTAAAATAGATCTGAATAATCTAACAAATAAAATAAAATCAGTTGTTCATACTGTACCATGTTCACACATACTTCATGACATGTTCACTGCTGTGTTCTCTTCTTTAGTGCTACTTCAGTACTAAAAAATAAATAAATCATAATTTTTGTGCATATCTCGACTTGTTTTCCATCATTATTTTATACAGTGGGCGATATGATATGAAACAGATAATAAGCCGCATTTTACATATTTTTAATGAGATCTTATTAAATCTTTAGAAACCCTGCAAAACAATGTTTGTGGCTATACTTTACCACTGTAGCTTTAAACTCTGCAATGCATCACACTCATATTATTATTGCTCGGGCTTATTATGGCTGCCGCCTAGTGGTGCACTTGATGCATTCCCATGGGCGAAATTTTCGTTCTGCTACTCCTCCCACAAAGTTTGACGTACATTCACACATAGTATCAAAACGTTTTTCTCGATCGCTGTGATATGACTTTTCTAAGACATTCGTCAAGCAGTTTGTTCGCTAATCGCAAAAATACAGAAACCCAAATGCATGGGATTCAAGATCTCTCACCCATTTAGTGTGAGCAGTCAAGGTCTCTTGCCCAATTAGAGTGAGTGTGAAAAACTGCCATTTTGTGTTAAAACTGCTCTCAAAGCCACAAATGGAGGTACTGCCCATAGTAACACAATTTTATCAGGAAACCTGTAGGGAGCCTACTCTTACCTCTTTATTCCAGCCCGACCATAGACTGTAAATAAAGATGGATGTCATGTCTCTACTTCCTCCCACTGTACAGAAACCAAGCCAAAATATCCAATATACAAATATCACCATCTTGCGCATTTGGAGTCAGGGTCTGTGCAGTAGTGATCTGGGTGTTAGCAAGGTCCCCACTCGACCAATAGTGAGTCAGTCTCAGCTGTCGTTTCACTCTTTATTCTTCTTTTGCATCAAATAACTAATTAAACCAAACACTTGAAAAACATCAATGTGATAAGAACTAATGACAAATGAGAGTAACATAAAGTAAAACTTTTTTAAAGGGTACTTTGACTTTTTAGTTTGGTCCATGTCCCATCTGTTGACATGGAGGAGCCATTATTTATGACCTGTACTGCAGCCAGCATCCAGACCACTTTGGATTCACTTTTAGGCATCTGTCAGGTCATCTATCTTCATGTACAGTCTCACAGCTCAGCTTCTGGCCTTACCCTCTGTTTATGTTTGCCTTTTTCTGCTGATGTTGTGACAACAGAATAATAATTTTATCCGCAGCGCTGTAGGTTGACAGTGTGTGTATAACAGATTATCTTTATTAGCTGCAAATCAAGTTTCACACTCATCCCTGTGTCTGACAGCCCAAACAGGTAATGAATACGTAAATAAGAGCTTCTAAATCATTAATTTAGCAGCATTAACACAGAGTGATCAAAGAGAGCAAGAGACAGACCCAATAAAGCTCCCACACTCTTTTCTTGTTCTCTCCATTCACATCAGCGACAAACAAAAATAGTTCTGCTCTATGTATAAAGACAAAGGGAGGATGTAATGAAAATTATAATTTGAAGTCACCTGCCATTCTAATTCAAGACAAAAAACCTAAAAGGCCACTAAAAGAACAGATGCTGTATTGTCTCTGTCAGCAGTTAGTTTTTTTGTTGTCCATGTTAAGCATTCAAAAGCTACAGCTGCCTTCAGTGAGTCCCAGGAGTGATGATATAATAATAAGCAGAATATAATGAAAATACATAAAGTATGAAATACAAATTCTTCTAATAATTCTAGAAATCTCTGTCTGTGTCGCTCTTCCTCCTAGAAAACTCCTCATCCACAAAACCTATACTTCGTTTGCGGACAGCTACAAATCCACCAAGTTTGAAATCATCTGGATAAACGGTTTCAACATTTAATTGACATTAATACTTGCAATTGTTTCAGTCAGTGCCAAAAGTGCAGCATAAATAAAAATGGATGGAGACTCTGGGTTTGGAAAGTGAAACTAATGTGGAAGTGCCTTAAACATGTATACCTCTCGATTGAGCACCAGAAGGGTGACAGATGGGTTTCCATAAGTCTAGTCCATAAGAAAATGACTCTGTTCTCACTTGATACATAACATCAGTTAACATTTTCCTTTGGAGTTTGTTAACCGTGTCCAGTTTCACGTTTTCTTCAATGCAGCACAATGTTAATATTGCAAATTATCGTCCCTTTAAGAGTCAAATAGGGGGGAATGGATACTGTGTGATTGACAGCTTGTTCCATCCAATGAGTGCAAGTCGTAGGTGTAGGTGGACTTGCGGTGTCCTCAAGCTCTCAGTCAGACTCAACAACCCCCACTCCTCCAAATATGGTTAATTCTGGTTTAAAAAACTTTGTTCAATCGGAACAAAATGCCAAACTCGAGCCTTCAAAATGGCTTTGCATAAACCAGTGAGTGACACTACTGTGGGGAGTGTCCATCAGTAATTCAATACAGTCCAGTTGGTGCTGCCAAAGATTTCAATGATTAAATGACAGAGAACCAGTGGGCCAGGAAGTCCATTGATAATTAAAGAACTTAAATCATGTGCAGTGTGTATTTAAAAGAAATGTGCAAAGTCAAAGCAAAGAGTGACACACACACACACACACACATTATTAAATCATAGACTATATGCAGCATATAAACCTGCCTCGTCCATGTCCAGATGGGATGTGGGGCAAACTCAAATGTTGAAATACACATCAAATACTTTTCTCATCAAATGTCTGATTTGATGAGAAAAGTATTTGATGTCAAATGTCAAATTTCTGTCATTTTAGGTAGTTCTGATCACACTGATGTTCCTTTTTCTGGACAGGTAATAACAGTCAAACATCACGACTGACAGCTGAGAATTATGGGTTGAGTGCATCGGTGAGATGTTGATTGCGCAGCTCCACACCACGATCACAACTCTGGCTCCAAATGTCATCATTGGCCCAAGATTGCAGTGCTTGTATTCTGGAAGTTTTTCCCTTCCTTTCTGAACAGTGATAGGAAGTGGAGATGGTCGTAGAAAGAAACATAAACTTAGCCATAGCCACAGAAGCTACATTCGAATTCAAGCCAGTAGAGGCATAACAATTTTGCAAAGTGAGCATAGTAAAACACAAACCATGCTTACTATATGCAATTTAATTTATAGCCACACAGAAACAGGCAGCAGTCGTGCACTGAGACAACATGACAGAAGCCGACTGTCGGAATGACTTTTGACTGACTTTGTGGCTGAGCAGTGAGCCCGTGGGTTTTAGTTAATAGGATACAATGCAGATTATAGGTTTATTCCACAGGGCATATTGTCATGAGCCAATTTGTTTTAAGCTGTATAAAATCAGTAAACTCAAGATGACCCCTGAAATGAGCAGGAAATGTAAAACTTGGGTGTGTTTTCATTGGCTGGCTTTGACATCACAGATATGAATGAAAAGGAGCACATACCACTCGGATTTAATTTGTGTGCAAAGGTTCAAAAAGCTAGCTCGCACACAAAGAAATGAACGGTCTATAATTGTAATGGTAGGTTTATTGTGAAAGACAGAATAAAAAAAAAAGGAATCCAGAAAATCACATCATATAAAAGTTATAAATTGATTTGCCATTGATTGTGTGAAATAAGTATTTGATCCCAGAAGAGGGAAGACCCATCCATGACCCATTGTCAGTGTACTGGCTGAGGGAAGGAGGTTGTCGCCCAAGATTTCACGGTACGTGGCAGGAAAACACCCCCAAAGCATAATGTTTCCACCTCCATGCTTGACGGTGGGGATGATGTTCTTGGGGTTATAGTCAGCATTTCTCTTCCTCCAAACATGGTGAGTTGAGTTGATGCCAAAGAGCTAGATTTCGGTCTCAACTAACCACATCACCTTCTCCCAAGCATCTCTGAATCATTCAGGTGTTCATTGGCAAACTTCAGACGGGCCTGTACATGTGCCTTCATGAGCAGGGGGACCTTGCAGGTGCAGCAGGATTTTAATCCATTACAGCGTAGTGTGTTACCCATGATTTTCTTGGTGACTGTGGTCCCAGCTGTCTTGAGATCATTAACAAGGATCTCCCGTGTAGTTCTGGGGTTCTTGGAATCTGATTGATTGATTCTGTGAACAGGTGTCTTTTATACAGACAACAAGTTGAGATTAGGAGTACTTTCCTAAAGCGAGGACTAATCTAACTGGTCTGTGGGAGACAGAATTCTTGCTGGTTGGTAGCGGATCAAATACTTATTCCACTCAATCAATCTTTTAAGCCAAGGACTACAGATGACAATGCCAATATCTAAAGATAAGATTCAAAACTTTGTTTCTGGCTAAAAGTGAAATGTAAGGAATATTTATGGAAACACTAAGTTACTTGAATTCTAAGTAAATTGACACAAAATAATGACTTGTTAACAATAATAATAATAATACAGCACAAGGATACTGGATTCATAATGTGTGTCTACCCTGATCCCGAAGCAGCGCTGGCAATAATGTTGCAGTGTCGGTCCCATGCAGTGTTCAGGCATTAATTAAACAGAGCCCAATTTTTTTTTATGAATCAGTTTGTTTATAATGTCAAAGTAATCTATCATCAATTAATCATACACATTCTAGAAATGCTGGAACTGTTCCTAAGCTGGAGCCAGTGGATGTCACTGTGCCATGACTTTATACTTTTGGGCAGAGCCATGCAAAGCTAAGCTAACCCTCTCCTGGTGCTAGTTTATTTCTCACTACATGTGTGGGTGGTTTAAAAATATCAAACTATTCTTTTAAGATGGTCATACTAGGAGGCTGATGTTAGTCCATGCTATGTTGGAATGGGTTGTCATATCTCTCCAATTTGCTGTTCTCTGTGTTAAGAGTTTTCTACAAAGTCACACACTGTTACACGATTTTCTTCCCAGCATGGACACAGATCATCTTCCTGTCACTAAGCAACCTACGGACGATCCTGTGGTCTGCAATTGCCCGTAAAGTAAGAATCATCTTCCTCATAGCATGCAGTGTCATGTGTCTTTTGTCGCTGAAAACACCCGCATGATCTCACCCACCTCTTTACCACCAGGCTGTTTTCGCCTTTTCATGATTGTACTACACCCTCTGTTGTGGTGTGTAAGACCTTAAGGCACACAAGTATGTGAGGAATGTCTGCTGTGTGATTCAGGACATCTGACTCTCACCTTGCCAGGCCAAACACAGGGCATAGCGTGAGATTAGCGGCAGCTTCAACATCTTAAATGTATATGTGAGTTGAATTGCACAGAGTATTTTAATCTCCAGCGTGCAGTTCGTTTTCAGGGAGAATATGGAGGAGAAGTGACAATTATTTGAAGAACTTAAAGGGATAGGTCACTCAAAAATGAAAATTCACTCTATCTACTCACCACTTTGCCTATGGAGGGGTGGGTGAAGTGTTTGAGCCACAAAACAAAAATACAAATAGAGTAAATACCTCCATACTGCTCCTGTGGTGTCATCCAAGTGTCCACAAGCCCTGACATTCAAATTCAACTCCAAACTGCATCATTTCCACCATGTTTTTAGCCTGAATGTCCGCTGATATCCTCCTCTGAGTTCTTGCGATACTCACAAGTTCTTGCAATAACTTAAGAAGTAACTATGTGAGGATAAGAGCAGACATTTATGCCTTAAACTGAAGTATTTTGTGGACTCAAACACTTCACCTACCCCTCCATCGGCACAGTGATGAGTGAATTTCCATTTTTGGCAGAAATATCCCTTTAAGCTTCAAATTGTCATCATGTAGTGTATATCATAATTAGTTTGGCATACCAGGAGAAAAGATGGGAGCGATTATGAGAGCATCACTCGGCTACTGAATACGATGCAGTGTCTACGAAATGATCAACAATCATTTTAACATATGCTATGCATCGTTTGATTAGGAACAGAGGTGAGGTGAGGTGAGGTGGAAGGAGTAGGGGGAGGGAGAAACCTGGGGAAAACATGTAAACTTCAGAGAGTTACCCCGTGAACCCTTTGGCTCTGAGATGACAGAGCTACCCCATGCTGCCCGTTCACTGGAATTTGTCTTGATAAGCTCAAAATTAATCAATATTTGTCAGACAGAGCATCAACACTGAGCCATCTCTCACATGAGTAACCATTCTCCTATTTCCCACCTTCAGCATTTATGGAACAAAACAGACCTTTTTTCCTTCGGCCTCTTCCTCCTGCTGACTGCTCCCACCTTTCTGTTTCTGAGCATCATCCCTCCTCAGGCATCACATGCATCATCACTTGATTAGCTTTAAGTGCTGCAGTAACATACCACAAAAGAGCCCTTGTTATTTCATTGTTTGGTGAAGAATTCGCAGATCAGGACAAGAGGCTTCAGGGGCGATGAGATCCTTGCATTGCAGGGGCAGCATGCAGGCCTCCAACTCATATATCTAAAGTTCAATGAAGGTCAGTTAATTACAATGTGAAGAAATGTCATTAAAATTCACATTTTTCATTTAAACTGACTATTTGATTCACAACATTGCACATTTGAAACATTTTATTTTTTTAGGTTTAAAATGTTTTCAGTGTTCATTGTTCTGTAGGTTTCTATCCACAGAGGTATTTCCTCTGCATCATCTCACTTCTCTACAGTTCAAACGAGCACATGAGGATCCCATGACAAACATGTCAAGATGTAGTCAAATCTCAACTCTCTTAACTCCGTTGACATGGATTTGCCCACTTCTGAGGATCTATTCATTGGACCACATGCATTCACAATCTCTCACATGCACACATGCATGAATGCACCATTACCACTCACTCAAAAATGAGATTCTTGGTGCACATTAAAGGTCCAGTGTGAAAGACTTAGGTGAAAGGGATCTATTGGCAGAAATTTAATATAAAATAATCCTAGTGACGTGTGTGTCATCTAAAATGTATGAAGTGTTCTTTCTCTTTACAATACAATGGTCCCTTCATATTATTTTTTTACATCTGGAGTGGGTCCTCTCTGGAGGCTGTTTTTTAAAGTAGTCAAATAGAACAAACCAAACTCTTTTGAGTTTTTATGACCAAGTACCATGTTTGTCTGCAGCGCCAGTGTCATTGTCCCTGTGGCTATAGTGGTGTCAGTTTGTGCAGCTGATCAGGAAGCTTTTGGGTAAGTTGCATGACATTTGTGAAACATGCTCTGAGCTGCTGACCAATCACAAAAGAGTGGGTCATTTGACCAATCAGAAGAGGCCGGTCTTTTTTGAGAGAATGGAGCATTTCAGAAAGATGATGAAATGATGAAGTGCTGCAGAAATGTACAGTATTAGACAAATAATGAAGTTTTTTCAACATAAGATTATGTAAACCTATTATGAATCTGCAAATAGTTTAAAAGTGTGCCCTTTAAAGTTCAGATTAAAGTGATGAAACAAAATGGAAATGGATTTGCAGAATAAATAACCCTTTTTACAACAATCATCCACATGGTTCTCACAAACACATGTGACACATACCCTGGGCAGTCCCTGGCCTTTACTACAGTACTTAGACAAGACAAGACAAGAGACATCCAGGAATCTGGAAAATACACCCACTTCTCTCTCTCCTCCCCTCTCCTTGTCCTCTTCATTAAGTTCAACTCTGCCCCGCTCAGAGCTGAGTGCAGACCTTCACATGTAAAGTAAAGCCTTGTGGACTCATTGCTCAGCTATGCAGTAGAGAGGATTAGCCTCAGCTCAGCATCAGTGCGAGGATCTGGGCATCTGGCCTTTTTTATCCATCACCTGGCTGATTCAGAGAGACACCACAACACTGTCCCTTTTTTTTTTACCCAAATCTCCTCTTTTCTCCTTTGTAATTCTTCCTCTCCTCCTCCCTATCTCCTTGCACCCCTCTTTCCCCTCTCTAATCCATGACGCTTCTCTCAGAGGACCAGTCTGTGCGGCCCCAGGCCTGCCAGGTCCTGGAGCCCGGCAAACACATCACCTCCTCCTTGGACCAGTACTCGACAGACCACACTGGCTTCAAACAGGACTACATGGACAGTGGCGAGAGCGCCATTTTCGGGGCTGTGGAGCCCCCCAGACGCTCTCGGGGCCGCCTCATACTCCACGGCATGGTCATGTTTGGAAGGGAATTTTGCTACGCCATGGAGGCAGCTTTCGTAACACCGGTCCTTCTGAGTGTGGGGCTTCCCCGCAGCCTGTACAGCCTGGTGTGGCTGCTCAGCCCCGTGCTGGGCTTCCTGCTCCAACCCATCATCGGCTCGGCCAGCGACTACTGCCGCTCGCCATGGGGCCGGCGAAGGCCTTACATCGTGGTCCTGGGCATCCTCATGCTTGTGGGACTCACCCTGTTCCTCAATGGAGATGCTGTCGTCTCAGGTAAGGGATCGGTTGGGATTGGGTCGAAGTGTTTTAGGGGAAATTCACATCTTCAAGAGCAAGAAAGTGGAAAAAAAAGGAGGGAGGTGCTGATAGATCATGTCATATGAGAAAATGAGTTCTTGTTTTGGAGTTGGCTGTTGCTTTGATTGAAAGAAAATAATAGACAATGAATAATCATCTCTTTTCATCTCAGAGAAACAGACGCATTGTAGAAGACGCGGTGGAAATTTGACAGCACTTTGATCTCAATTGTGCTCTTGTTTTGAAATATGCAAAAAGGAATTGTGACCTGTCTCATGAAACTCAACAAATGCAGCGTTTTCTATTTTGAAGTTTCTGTCAGGATAGCCTCACATAACATCAGCTTGTTTCTGCCATTGTTTACCATTGACGCTTGTGATCTAATTGGATTTTATTTCCTCACTGACACAATGATTATAATTTTGTATGTTTGTGCCCTTGAGCTTCGTCTTATCTCCCTGACTTTTTAAGGCTCAGGCTCCGAACTGTACCAGTGTCTGTTCTCTCTCTGGGGGAAAACCAGACACAGCATCAGGAAAATGAAAGAACGATTAAACTTGTTAAATGTGAGGCTGTGATGTCCTGGCAGGCTAGGACCCTTAACTTGTGACTGAAATTAAATGTGTGGTTGTGAATCCGCTACAGCGCAGATGGATGGTGAGGTATGACTGGGGAAAATCACATTGTGCCTTCACTTTGAAGTAGTGGCTGATAACATTTAAAACACCCAAACCGTCATATGGGGATCTGCTGGTGCTCCGGGCGACATCACGAGTAGAAAGAATGTGTGTCCTGAATTTTTGTGAAAGGGAAAAAAAGAAGAAGATGGGCGAGTGGTGTCACTGTGGTGCCAATTTGTTTCCTGCTGTTTATGTCTTCCTGCAGCTCCATCGGTTCACCAAGGAGTGAATTGCACATTCACATGTTTTGAGAGTTTTTAACACATCATCAGTGATATCCTGGTCATACCTTTTAATTAAAAGATAAGAGGATTAGAGAAAGGACGGAATCTAGGATGTGTCTGAATTGGGGGCCATAAAGAGGCCACCATTTACACAGAGCAGCCAAATACATATGTTCAGTAAGATGAGTCATTCCTTGTCCACTATTGACTCTAAAGTTTTGAGCAAAATCAGTCATTGTTCCCTTTTGTATTTAAAAAAAATGCTTGACAAATTGTCTTATTTTTGTTGTTTATTTGTTGTTAATAATAAGAAAGTGACATTTTCTACTGACAGGACAGAGGCACTTCAGGGGCCAATCACATCCACCCCTATTTTTAGTCAAAATGCAGAACCCTTAATTAAAGTCTTTGCTGATAAGGAATCTGCTTGTTTAAAAGTCACTTTTACTTTCTGAAGATGTCCCGTGATTGTTTTCGTTTTCTATTAAAAAGACTCTTCTCTTTGTTTTAATCATATGGATGATAAAGTATTCCCTCCTCCTGACGTATGCGGGATAAGCTGATTACATTCTCTGTGTTTCTCTGGGGCTGTCGTAAATGCCGCAGGAATCGTGTGTGGCATAATGTTTGCATTGTTGTAGCTGCCCCCCCCGTCTAATCTGAGAGAAAACGAAGAAGAAGAACGGCTTGTTGTGGCACATGAATTGCTCTTAAGACTTTAAATTGTATATTTCCTTTTGTTTCAAGGCTAGAAACAGGTCAGATTCCAAGTGAAAGAGTGTCAGGAGGTGCTGATGTAACTCACCCACTGACTTTTCAGGACTTGATACATACTTCATCCATCCAACCAACCAACGCCAGCCTGAGCTCCCGACCGACCCATCCACCAACCAACTTACTAACTAACCATCCATCCAACCAACCAACCAACCAACGCCTGCCTGAGCTCCCGACCAACCGACCATCCAACCAACCAACCAACCAACTAACCAACTAACCATCCATCCATCCACTGGGTGGTTGGAACCAATCCCAGCTGACATTGGGCAACAGGTTACACCCAGGACAAGTCACCAGATTATCACAGGACGGAGGCATAAAGACAAACAACCATCACACTCACATTCACACCTTCAGGATATTTAGACTCTCCAGTTAACCTGAGCTTAGGTACTTGAAGAAAACCCTTGTAGACTAATCACACTCTTCTATACTTTATTATTAAAATCCTGGTCATTACGTTTTAATTTACGTGCTTTGCAGGTGAATCATATTTTTGTCGCCATCTCCATTTCTGTTAACAGAGAACACGACTGGACATCACACTCAGTCAGGCTTCTAACTTGTCACAAATAATTGGTTTCTTTGGGGTGAGAGCTGTTTGTATCGTCTATGTGCTTTTCCACTGGGATTCCTGTTCTCAGTGATGTGGATCATTCATTTGATTGCACCTGAACTTCTTGACACTTCTGTAAAATAAATATATTGATGCTGAGCTGTCGACATCGTATTATTATGATTTAAATGATCTGCTTTGTTCTGTTTTGCAGCTCTAGTCAGTGACAGGACACAGAGGAGGATATGGGCCATCGTGGTGGTGATGTGCGGCGTCGTGCTGTTTGACTTCGCCGCGGATTTCATCGACGGGCCCATCAAGGCCTACCTGTTTGACGTGTGCTCGCATCAGGACAAGGAGCGAGGTCTGCACTACCACGCGCTCCTGACAGGTCTGTAATAACAGAGCTGCTGCTCCTGCTCCGACACTCGCTGTGTTTGTTTCATGTTTATTCATGATTATTTCTGCCACAAACATTTCCTCGGTGGCTGTTTCTGCTGTGCATCTTTATGGATTATTGTTGAATTATTCCACATAAATTATTTTCTTGATGAGTGTTTCAGTGGTAATACTGCCCTGTGGGCAGCTTGTAGATGAGCAACTGTCATTAAACTCACTGCCAGCATAGGGCAGCTGTTCTCTGAGTTAAGTTGGATCTTTTTGTGGTATGACTGAATACATGCGGAGGCAGCACACACTGTGATGATTTCCAGGAACTTTATATTTGTCTCTGTGTTGGCTGCATGTCTGTCTGCTGATAAGAGTCCATGAAAAGACAAAGGGCCCTTTAGTTGGGACTTTTTTTTAAACTTTCTTTACACAAGTTACATGAGAGCACTGATGATGAGACCCCTGGGAGGTCACTAGACACAGAGTGAGGGTCGCAAGATGACTTCCAGATATCAAATACAACGTGTATACAAGCTACAATTTCAAAATCTAAAATAATAACACAAGTCATATTCAAAATACAACTTTGCAAATATAATCAGCCCTAGTTTTACGGAATAAATGATTATCTATTAAGTAGTTAAAAACTATCAAATAAATGATAGATAGATAGATAGATAGATACTTTATTGATCCCAAAGGAAATTCAAGTAGCCAGTGGCAGTAACATATATTGAACATACATTAGAATTAACTTATACATTAGAGTTAACTTATAACACAGTTACCATACGTTGAAATTGGCCTGAGATGAATGTAAATTTAAATGTGTACAGAGAATTAAGGAAATTAAATTAAACATTTGTAGCAAAATGAAACTTTTACAGAGAAATTAAACATTTGCATATACAAAAACTATATAAAAACTAGAAAGAATATACACTACGTCGCTTTCTGCCTCTGCCTGTTACACCCTCCACCTCTCGCCTGAATAATGCGGAGGATTTATTACTGTTGTGAACGCATCTGTACGTGAAAGACAAACTGCATTTAAACTCCGGACCCAATTCTCCAGCCTTTACCCACAAGTCATAAGATGCTTGAGGACCCACCACAACCACTCCACACTCCACCTCATTTTGTTGTATAACACCAAATTTCTTCACAAATCAGCCCTTTTAATGATGTATGAACAGAAAACACGAGCTGAGTTAATACTCACTTAAATTAGAATTAAAAAACGGTTTGAAGATTGCATAATTCAATACTTTAATACTTCAATACTTTATATAGCCATCATGTGGGAAAAGTCATATTTTGATATTCTCCTTTCAAACTCCATCACTGATGCAACCCAACGGATACTGAATGTTTCATATGAGGGAAAACCATACAGAATTAAGAAAACATTAATTTGTACATTGCTCACAGGCGAGTTGGTGTTTTTAGTGTGTGCACTGGCTCAGCTATCAGCAGGCACTGGGTGGTGTGAGCAGGCTGTAATCCAGCCCTGAGCTAGTCATGTGTTGCAGTCATGGGTCTGGGCTGAGAGAGAGACAGAGGCCAGGCACATGACTCCCTGCCACTGCTGGCATGTGAGGAGGCAGGAGCAAGAAACCATGGTGTGTTTCTCAGTGATGCCTGTACTTTCTTTTCACAAAGCTAATTATGTGCTCTGAACCCTGGGAGTAAATGCCAGTGGTGAAACACTATCAACAACACTTGAAGTTTAACAGGCTCTCACAGAGCGCACAGGGCACTGATGTGGAACTTTCTACAGATACACGTTAAACTGGACACAACAGATGGAACAGACGGAAAAAAACATTTAAATTCACTACATACTCATTTGGATCTGCACCAATTTGCACACATTTCAGATTTATTTTTGTGAAGATCCATGAATTATTCTCTGGATGGCATCTTCAGTTGGCCCCTGATTTCGGTTCAAACCGTAATATTTTCACATCTATCTGATGGATTTTCAATAATTTCAGAACAGACACACATTAAGTGATACTGGTACCTTTCATCAAATGCCACCCTGAGGTTGACGTGTGTGACAGTATGAATAATTTCATCTGGCTACAATTTGAATTTGTCCAATACTTTGGTTTATGACCAAATCACTGCAAAACATAATGACATCACCCTCTCAAACTCTATCATTCAGTTTATTTCCAAGGTTTGCATTCATTGACAGTTTGTCAAAGTGATCGCCTCACTATTAAATACATTTCATCATGTGCATTAGTAAGTAAATAAATCACCATAGTCAACTGCTGTGATATTTGCCGGAAATTTGGACTTTGTTAAATTCACTAGTACATTCAGTTTCAGGTTAAAACAGTTGAGTTCAGAACAAAAAACCTCTACAAGGACTATTTGTAATGGTGATTTCGGCTTTGTTATATTTCTTCCCCCACATCTTTATTCAAGAACGTCTCTCAGCTTGAGAGCAGGACAAATAGAATGTAAACATATACAGTTTGAGTACGAGCACAGGGTTTTGAGTGAAGGCAAAATCTGACTGTGAAATCATGGTGCTCTCTAAATGAAAGACCACACTCTCGAATAGAGTGGAAAACAACAGTAGATTTAGTAGATTTCATTGTTGTGGTGGAAGAAACGTACTCAGTTTCAGAGTGGACTGTCAACAGTGAGATGCTGCTCAAAGCTCCTAACAAACTGTGAAGACTCACAGGAGTGAACAACGCAGACAACAACGCAATGTCATCTACTACTACATTTGCTGGTCTGTCCTGCATTGACTTGCAAAGCAGTTAGCTCATATGCTACAAAAGTGAATAAGTGAAATTCAAATTCACCTGGTGTCTTCACAGCTACAGAACTTTTGGAAATGCAGCTGTGGCCCTGTTTTTCATTGTAAAACTCTGCGGCTGCATTTAGTATGGACAAGCAGAAACAGCTGGCAGTTGCCAACATTGGCTTCCAGATCCGGCCTTATCTTTCACAACTCAACGACCAATGCTGAATGCAAAGTGTTGCTTAATCTTTCTTCCAGCTCCATCTCATCAAAAACTCCCTGCGCTTTTACTTTACACTCCGTGCCTCTGTAACTCAGCAACCAAATGCACAGCAGACAATCTGCACCGACACACGACTATAGTGACTGGTAATGTGACATGGGTTTACATGTGTTAATGTCGACAGAGATCATTGTCTGGACAGAGATTGTGGATGATTCAGTATTGTCATTTCAGTTGGACTGACCATCTGTACACATGGTAAATGTGGCCAGAATTATACCTGGCTTCATTCCCATTGAGTCCATGTCACTCACATTACCAATTAGCACATTTAGCCTGATCATAGCCTCATGGACGTGCTAGTGTGGACTCAGTTTGACTTGTGAAGCTTAAGCCAGAACTATGGAAGTTTTAGTAAATGTATACGAGCCACTTGTGTCGCTCTTGAGTGAAAACTGTGAGCTTCATTAGGTTTCACAGGAAATTGTTTTTGCTGCCTTAATGTGAATCTGCTTTGTTCTGATGGGCAATTTAAATTCAGTTGCACCTTTCTGATTTTAAATCTCCTCCTCTCTCCTCTTCAGTCTCTGTGTTTTTTTCAGGGCATCCGCAGTGAGTCACAGCGATGCCTCTGTTTTGCTCTGTTGCTCTTCAATATAAAAAATCTGAGCTATTGTAGAGAGTTTTGTGCTGAACATGACTTCAATGACACGGAAAAGACAGTGGAGACAGATCTTGAATCAGTGGAGTGTGTGACGCCGCGCACAAACAGAGGTCATGCAGAAACAAGTGAAGTGTGACTTCTGAAGTGGTCATTACTTCACCTGCCACTCGCTGAAATGTAGAAAAATAGCCCATATTTGAGGCCTGTATCTTCTCAGTTGGATAAATCGCTCAACCAGTTAATCAGTCTTATCAATCAATCAAATACATTTGAATCCCCCGCAAAGGTCATGTTTTTCACCCACGTTTTTTCCAAAATTTTCTTCACATTTTTCCTTAATTTTGCAGCATAGTGAGACACATTTGTTGGATTGGTGGCCTTGGAGGATGAATGCAAATACTACATGTAGTTCTACAGTGTTGTTTTATTTCGTGATTTTTTTTTCCATTTACTGTAAAAACACATCATAACAAATAGAAATCATTGGCTTTGTTTTCAGATTCTACCATGTTGTTTGTGAACAAAGGTTTCTCAAGCAGGGAGGACTGAATGAGGATGTTTCTTTTCATTTCCTCATGCTATGAACAAATATTTGACATGAAAATCAAGGCACGCTCTCTCAGCTTACCTCCGTGGTGGTTAGTTTCTCGTCTTTCTTTTGATTGCTGGATGTTTCATTAAGCTGCACCTCAGTGCAGTGATAAAGTCAACAAATAACACATTCAGATTTGAGTTGGCAGAGAAATTCATGCAGCAGTTGAATTACAATTCACAACAAAACTGATTACACACAATAACACTGAAATGTTAAAGTCATTTTGTATCATTTTATAACAATCATTTTAATTGTGTGATATTTGATTGTGTAGTTAATTAACAACAAACAGTGCATCCAAAAGGGCCCAAAAGTGCAGACAACATTTATTACACCTGTGATTTCCAGTTAAGAATTACTGAATGAACAGGGTTATAAAAAACCAGCTGCAGGGAACTGCCTGCAAATAATAAACCAGATTGTCCATCCATTATCTATGCTGCTTATTATTCTTTGAAGGTTAATCCCAGCCGACCCTTAACAGGTCACCAGCGTATCACAAGGCCGACAAACAATTATTCAAGCTCACCTTCAAACCTATACACGCAAGTCTATAGTTCAGCTGATCAGTATGTCTGTATGACCGTGGAGTACCTGGAGAAAAGATGGGAGAGTTTATAAGAGCATCACTCAGCCATGAAGAATGTTGCAACAGTGATTAGCAGGTTTTAAAAAAAAATTATGAGAGAACTCACAGTGGCTTTTCAATAAACAAAACGTTGCCATCCACAGTTCAATAATCACGTCATCTTACCTTGAAAGCACATGAAATGCTTGAACGCACAAGCACCTGTAGAAATTTCAATTACTGAAGCAACAGTTGCAAAGGACATTTTCTGAAATCAACCTCTACACACAACAAATACAACAAAAACTGCAAGGTTGGAGGAGAAAAAGCCTGTTTACTGATAGCAGCAAATCCTAAAAGCATCTTCACTATATCAACTTATATTGTTTTGGCTACATATTCCCACTGCCCCCAAGTGGCCAAAAAAAATCAGTTATTCTAGCTTCTCAACAGTAGTTCTATGGTTATACAATACTTGCCAAACGCACGCACGCACGCACACACACACACACACACACACACACACACAGAGCCTCTCCTAATAGAGATGCTACCCCAACAAGACAGGTACTACCACAACAAAATTGTGATTCTACTAATCATGTCATCACACACCATGTAGCCTCGAGGCTGTGTCTCAGTCTATTGTCCTGATGGACCACACTCTCTTCTGTAACATAAAAAAAAATATATACTGGAAGACAAAATGATGTAACAGGATCTGAGGGTGTATTTTCTCTTTGTCATAATTGCAATTTTTCTATCTGCATAGGGCTTTAACCTCTGCCTCTGTGCGTTCCAGGCCTGGGCGGGGCCTGTGGTTACCTGGTGGGCGCCATGGACTGGGGTCATTCTGCGTTGGGGCAGGTGCTGGGCTCCGAGTACCAAGTCATCTTTTTCTTCGCTGCACTGACCTGGAGCATCTTCCTCACTGTGCACCTCTTCAGTATTCCAGAGCAGGCTCTGGGCAGGGACCCATCTGCCAACGACTCGTCACCTCCCAGTGCCCTGCGCGTGCTAGGATCCCACAGCAATGGTTATGGAACAATGTCTAAAGAGACCGTCTCCCCCGCCGCCCCGGCGTCAGTCCCGGACCTGAGGCCGAGGTCGTTCTCTGCTCTGGGGGAGGCCAACTCTGTGACCTCCAGTGCCAAGCAGCCAAACAAAGAGGTATGTGATGTGCAGGGTGAATATTTACTGCTTATCCTGGTCATAGAAATGCATTGCATGTAGCAGGAAAGGACAGAGAATGGACGTGCAGTGTAGTAGTGTGAAATCCTGACAGTGTTGATAGGAGGTCACCGAATGAAATGACAGCTGGCAGCCATAGCCAGCTGTCAATACAGCCCCCCCCCCCACCAAATGTCAAACTAATAAATCACCAAAACCATTAGGATTCACCCTCCCGGGATCATGAACATCTGAAAATAAGTCCAAGGCCATCCTAGGAGCCGTGCCGCTATCTCCACCACTGAAAATACTCTAAAGTTTGAAGCTGCTTACAGGTGGAAATGTAAATATTTAGGGTTTTTCAAAGTTCAAGTGGTTAATGAGGTTTTTCCCTGTAGATGAAACTCCTCAAATAACCCTCTGAATCTTTTATGTGATAATGTGGATGTAACCCAGTGAGACAAATTCCTGCATTATGCATGGAATCAATGATCCCTTCCGGCTGAGTTTACAATAACAATATAAAAAGAAGAGTTTACTAGAGGAGTTTGTATCGCAGTCTTTAAACACGGTTTTGCCACCTCGCCTGGATGTTAAGACTTTGATTAATAATCTCTGATAGATAATCATTTTGGCTTTGATAGTCCTCATCTTCCTTTAAATTTAGTGCTACACAAATCAAAAATATTTTAAGCTTGCCTTTAAATAGAACTTTTTCCGAGATCTTTGCTCATTCATTTGTGTCAAGATGAAGATCTTGAGCGTGCAGACCTATCGTCAGATGTGGTATTAAGCTTGTGACATAAATACCAGGAGCGTAATAGGGGCTAGGCCTAATTTATAAATATATTAAAATCGGTATGAATAATCCTGTCAGTGTTGTTGCTGTTGGCAGTGATGTGTGATGTCTTCGTGTACACCTGCAGGCACAGAAGAGGATGACATTCAGGTCACTGATGAAAACCATCATCAACATGCCAACCCACTATCGCTGCCTGTGTGTCAGTCACCTACTGGGATGGACGGCCTTCCTCTGCAACATGCTCTTCTTCACCGATTTCATGGGACAGGTATTGATTTCCTGTGTGTCGGCACAAGGACATGCACACATTTCAAACAGTCAAAGATCAGCGCGATGGCAATTCAAAAGGAGCAAAGCCATTTGTGCCCAAGCTTCTGCCTGTTTGTGTTCTGTGTGAAGCTCCTAATCACTGCTCATTTACCACTCACTCTAAGAGACTAAGTAAATTGCTGTCATTAGTGTCACTGAGCTGTTGCTGTCATTTCTGGCTCGGGTTTAGATTTTTGCTTGTTCAGGCCTCCCGAGTGTGATTCATCTACATTATAAAGGGAATAATTTTGGACCAGACAAATACATTTTTCAAAATGTCCAAAAAACCTATAGTGCCTTTGGGAGAATGTGACAGGCTTTTTTTCCCCCCACACACATTAGAGTGCTAAAAGGAAAAGACGAGATAGTGAGATAACGGGTGACCGGCAGCAGAGTTCCCCGCTAGACTCATAGTAAGGTTTTCCAAAAAGGATGGACTCAATGACAGGCAGCAGAGAGAAGGGCAGGAAAAACACAATGAATTAACAACAGCTGAAAAGGTGTGATCAAAGTAAATGTGTGAACTAACTAAACCAAAAGAGGCCGTGCTCCAGAGTTCAGAGTCCACTCTGGCTGGCGAAGCTGAAGCAGAGGCTACATCCTCATTACTGCTTTTTGAAATGCATCACTGTACGCTGGCTGAGTGTGGCTGAAAGAATCGTGAACACGTGAAATTCATGTAAGGAGACAGTAAACACATTTGAACACTTACAGAAGCGTTTAACCACAAGTTTGAAAGACGTTGGTGATGAAGTGAAGGTTAGATCAGTCTATATTTGGGTGGGTTGATTGGTAGTAGAGACCGGAGGAGCTTCGGGGGACAGGCGACCACGCCCAGCCTCACACACTCACACTCACACACAAGCTGAGCACTTGACAGACAGTTTCTAACACTCAGAGCAAGTCATAAATAAAACAACTCATTGGTTGATCATGAACATTTCACAAAGCATCTGAATTTTACATTTCAGTTTGCATATTCAGTACACTCTGTTTTTTGATGTTCAAATTCAAATGTATTTGTCGTTAACAAAACATGTCAAGAACAACTGTACAATAAAAACCGGGGGGTGTTCCAAACAGTTATCCATAACCTCACCAAATAAATAGATCATAAATAATAGAAAGAGGCCTTATCTAAAAGAAGTTAGAGATACACAATGAGGTACATAAAGGATTCTATATAAAGAGTGATTGCACATGGTCTCATGCTTTGACCAAAACAAGGTTCATCCTTCACATCAGTGAGATAAGCTCACACTGAAGTGCTAGATGTGGTTAATCAGGAGCCCGAAGGCCTGCAGGTAGAGGCTCTTCATCAACCTGTTGTTTCTAGATGAGATGCTGCGGTTGGGTGACTATGCCTCAGTCTGATGAATAGGCTGGTTCGCTCCAGTCCTTGATGATTCGGTGTGCCCCACTCAGACAACACTGCTGATAGAGGGATAGGCTGATAATGAGCTCAGCTCTTTCTAACAACTTGCTGGTGGGTTTTTATGGTCAGCGAGGGGGCAAGGGGGAGGCTCAGGCTACATCCACACTACTACGTTTTAGTTTGAAAACACTTTAACTCTGCTAAAGATAGGCCTGGCGTCCACATTACCCTGAAGCGTCAGAGCCACTAAAACAGGGAGAAGTTTGGAAAACGCTTCTGGCCTTGTTAAAGGTTTTAGTCTGGACGGGCAGAAACGTAGATGTTTCAGGCTGAAGGCGTAGAAGCTCCTAGCCACTTGCTGATTGGGTCCTTTCAGTCACAAAATCTCCTTCACTGATTCGTCAGGTTCCTATCACATGATCCCCTTCTGAACGAAAGTAAGCGACATTAGCCTCAGCTACCAGTGAAGAATGCAACTTGAATAATCAAATAAATGCGTTTGCTAACAGCTGTTGTGCGGTTAAATCCTGCATTTTATAATCATACAACTGCTGACATGCATAAGAGACAAGGGATGGACAATTTCATTTGTCAACAACTTGTCCTTCTATTGGTTGGGGAATTGTGACAGACTTGTTGCACAAAAAAAACCAGGAGCAGATGTGTGGCCTTGTGATATGTGCTTTCAGGCACCTGAGAGCCACAATGCTCTTGTGCAGAAATAATTGTAGTTTGAGATTTCCCCACAAAGCCATTTGTTAGTTAAAGATGTCAAATGAAAAGATACATGAAAAATCTCTGTTTCCTTCTTCTCAAATGTGCAAGGTAAATTATTTTATTTGCTCCATGTTATTGTGAAATCTTTTTGCTATTTGAGCACTTTACCTTGGGAAAATGGAATCATTTTCCGCTAGATTTCTGATATTTCATACAATTAACAAATTATGAATCATCCGAACAAACCGATAATGAGATTAATCATTATTTGTCGTCCCCTAACATGACACATGAGGCGAAGTGACACAATGACATGAAAGAAATGTGAGTGACATGCTCCATTAATCCATGTTTCTGTGAGGGCAGATAGGGGGTGCAGGGTGGTGGAAGGGCCTACTTTTATTGTGTGTAATCCTCTGTTGACGTGTAATAATGACGAATGCTTCAGGGTGTCACAGTGTGCATGCTGATCAAAGGATGCACTTCACGCAGTGACGCAACACCCAATGCCACGCTTCACTAAGACCTAATACACCAACTCAAAATCTGAAATTGCAGACGTTGTTGTCGTGGATAAGAAATGTGTAGTAAGTGGTGAATTAAATGTGCATCCATTTGGTTAAAAAAAAGAAAAAGCAGGCAGCCAATATTTATATGAAAGGCTGAGTGGTTTGATCTCAGCTTTTATGTTTATCTGGCTTTAGAGCAGCTGTAGCACTTTATAACATAATGCTTGGTTTACCATGAAATGTCCCTATAAGGAACCTCAGGAACCAGCAAATACTGTATTTCTGGTATTTAACATAGACTCAGTGAAAGGTCTCAACACTAAAAGAGCAACAGTTAGACATTGTATGTGAAACATGTGGAACAAAAACATTCACAGTCACATTCACACCCACAGGCAACTTCAAGTAACCTAAGCTGCATGTTGTGGGAGGAAGCAACAGTAAACCCACACAAACACAAGAACATACAAACTCCTCAAACAACAGATCTGGTCAGACGTCAGCTCGCTGTGACTGATTTATAAGACTTAATAATTATTTGGTTTCCACCTGTGTGCACAGCAGAAAACTGTCAGAGCTGTGCACTTGACAAAGGTATATTTAGTTTTGTTCTCTGATGTACACCTAACGAGCTGCTGCAGATTTACAGGAACATGCTGCGAGGGTCAGATTACAAAAGATCTCATTCTTTACCTGTAGACATAAAATAAATCCCTGTACAGTGGAAGTAACCTTCTTTTAAATTGTATTGTCTCTGTTTACAATGCATCAATGTTTGAAACTATGGTGGTCCAGACGAATGGGAAAACACAACAGCAAATCACAAATACAAAAACAAGAAAAAAAATCTTTTTTTAAATTTTTGTTTCGTGTTGTTTTTATTTGCTGTTATGTTTCTTTCGGTGCCGTTGTGTTTCCTTATTTGCTGTAGTGTTTTGCAAATCAGAAAGCAATACAAAAAACACAACAGCAAAGGAGAATTCACAACAAATCACAAATTGGTTGTTGTGAGTTTTTATTTACAGGTGTTTTTTTATTTGTTGTTCTATTAGTAGTGTAGTGTTTACAACATGCATTTTGTATCACACAGTAATTTGCCTCTGCTCTGACCCAGCTCTGTATTCAACAACTAACAAAACTCAAGATTATAATTGATTATTATTTACTTCTCCTCTCCTCCAAAATATCCAGTTGTTAGTCCAATGTTCTGCATACTCTTGATTTCTTCCTCTGTACCAACACCAGTGTTTGAAAGCAATGACACTGAATGTAAATAGCAGACTTTTTACTGTTACTCCTTTGTCTTTACAAAGTTGTTCTCTTATTTTGCAGATTGTATACAAGGGAAACCCTTATGCAGAGCACAACTCTACAGCCTACATCACATATGAGAGAGGAGTAGAAGTGGGCTGCTGGGGACTGTGTATTAACGCGGTGTCGTCTGCTCTCTACTCCTGTAAGTACATGTGCAACAAGTGAACTTTTATGGAATTGCCTATGTTTATATGGAAATTTGCCTCAAAACAGGGCTCGATCTAATTTTCAAAAATGAAAAAATTAAATATTATTAATTTAACATGCATAAATGTGTTTTTGATTGAATATCTGATTCCACCATGCACAGTGAAGGTTTGAAAGAGAATATGAACCCTGAGGCTAATGACATTAAAAAGCAGACCTGGAGTCCAGCAACAGAAATATTATTAAAAACACCCAAACATTGTGAGTCCACTGTTCACAATGCACATCTGTGTATGTGCTCCACACCTAGCATAGAAAAAATCTCAAAGGACATATGATTGAGACTTGGTGATTTGCTTAAGCTTAGGTTATCTCAAACAGTTTAAAATTCATCAGTCCATATTAAAACAAATTCTAAATTTGATGGTGGATATTCTGCCTTGATGTGGCTGCATAACACAGAGTACTCAGTGGGGTGAAAGCCAGGAAAAATAATGAAATCCTTAAAAAGGAGTCAGATGAGCTGGAGAGCATCTCTGACCAGTTTGTTCTAGGCCATTAATATAGTTGCATGGTGGGAAAATAAAGAGGAAGCTACGCTCTACAACACTGATGGGAAAATGTTTTGTCGACTGAAACTAAGAGTTAATTGTTTGGGAAGAGAAAACATTACGTATAGTGTAAAAAAAGTTTTCAACAGCTATCAGTGTGAAAAGATCTCAAAGGTGAAGAGTGTGGTGGAAAGAGCATCTTAATTTGGGGTGGCTTATTCAGCAAGCGCCCCTGTTAAAATGTGAGTTTGGAGGTGAAACTGAAAATAACCAAACAATAATAACTATAAAAACATCTCAGGATGAAAAAGAGGTATCATACTTACGTAAATATACGTACGCATACATACGTAAAAGAGGCTGAGAAAGATGTCAACTTGAAAATACAATGAAAATCAAGAGCTTTTGGCGATAAGATCCATGGGAAGTTCATAGATATGTGATGTCCTACCTCCTGCTCTACCCAGACACCACCCCACACCTGAATGTGCTGGACATTTTCCCTTTGTCGTGAATGCATCTGACCCAGCTGCTGCGTTCTTCATATATGAAAGACAACCCTGGAAAAAGTTCATGGCTGAAGAAGACAAAAAATAGGGCACGATATCAGCGCAATCACATTTTGTTCATGATCGTTTAATATAGAAAACCCTATAATTCAAAGGGACTCACTTGATTGTTCGAGCCATTGTGTGGGTGAGTGGCAGGAGAAAGTGTGGGTGGCTGTCTGCACATTGATCATTAAAGCCACTCTTAATTAAAATCACCACTTCCTGCAGTGACAACATTTGCTCCTGTGAATGACAGCCCGATTAGCTTGGGTAAAGAAACTAAGTCACTGTAGGCAATGACCACTTAATTCTCTTCTTGTACTTGGGCTTACAGGCATCAGCCAACCATTAGCAGGCTGTGCATGAATGAAACACCCATTTTCCCAGAGGCTGCTGACTTGTAGTGATTTAAATCCAAACAGAAGGTCTGCTTTATTGTGAAAGGTAGAGAAATAGCAGGTTGGACAAGTAATGAAGGCACTGATGCTGCACTTGAGTGGGAAAAATGGCTCTATTTATAGACTGGGTGCTGAGGTTGTCGTTGCTACTCAAGACAGTCAATTGCACGTCCAGTCAACTGCCGCAAATTGAAAAAGGCCAAATCTATGGTATTTGGCGTTATTAACAATCCAGGTCATCCAAGAGAGGTACCTCATCAGCGCTGAGTGATCTGATCACAGCTCTAAGTGCAGTTGTGAACACACCCAAGATGCATTGAGGACGTATTTCAGATTTGATCACTCATACCTCTTTAAAATCTAAATAGGTGGATACGTTTCTAAACTCACAAAAAAAAAAAAAAAAATGGACTCTCTTCTCATTTCCACGACAGGAGTTTGCCTTTATGTGTTCTTTTTTCCTGGTGAATCATGTTCTATATCATAAAAATCGCTTTTGCACATTGTGCCAGAGATGTAACTAAAAGTATGAACACAAATATTCATGACTATTTACAAGCCAAAGCCCTGGAGTTCAATATGTGTCAGAACGTTGTGCCAGAAAAGGTGCTGCGTCTGGCCTGCCAAAATAAAAAATAAATTAGCGAACTCTCCATGGTGTCTTGTTTCTATCACTGCTGATCAGAGCCAGGGCAGATAAAAGCCTGTCTTCTGCAGTCATTTGACCTGGGAGTGAATGTTGATTGTATTCTTATCCCATTGCAGAAATAAGCCAGATGTCACTGTGTTAGTGGGTTGTTAGGCCAATGGAAAAGGGGCTTCAGATCACATTCAGAGGTGGTCTGGGACGCAAGTGACCTCATTCTTCTCGCAGTGTGATCAGAAAATGCGCCCAGGGCACTATTTTAAGGTCCGTCTACTCAGCTAATGTTCTCTGACCCACCAGTTTCATATGAACCCCAGGTACATACATTGAAATATTCATGGCACCTCCAAAATATTAACACAGACCACCACATACCGATCCTCTAATTTTTTTTTAAATAATAACATTATTTCATATTGCAGCACAATCATGCTCACGCTCACACATGCTCACACACTCTCACTCACACACACATACACCTATGGTCAGACAGGCTAAAAAGATAATTCCACAAAGAAAAGCAACACTGTTTTTTTGCATTTAGCAAAATATATAGTGAAACTAAACTACCATAAAGGAAATGCATGGCTTAATGCAGGAGGCAAAACCCCCTGGGCGATAAGACTTCTAAGCAGAATCGCATTGTTATCTTTCAGGAGACAGTTGACGACCTCAGGTGCAGGTAAACTGCAGAGTACCAAACCGTCCTGGGTTATTTGTTTAAAGGTTGTTTAGTTTCCATTTAATCTTGGCTCCAGTTGACTTCAGCAAATTGGAACACTTAACAGCCTTCAGGAGCACGAACGAACCTCGGCCTTGATAATGACCCCACAGAGGTTAAACACTGGGGTCTGCTCACCAGTTCATCAGAACCGAAAGTCCATCAAGTGAGAGTAAAAGTGACCTCCTCTGTGTTTGTGTGTTTTCAGATGTGCAGCATTTCCTTCTCCCATACATCGGCCTGAAAGGATTATACTTCATGGGCTACTTTGTGTTCGGTATGGGCACCAGCCTGATTGGCCTCTTCCCCAACATCATTGCCACGCTCATCCTGTGCACCGTGTTCGGTGTCATGTCCAGTACGCTCTACACCATCCCATTCAACCTCATCGCAGAGTATCAGCGTGAAGAGCAGGTAAAGAGATGATTTTTTTCAAGGTTTAGATGCAAAGGATCAGAAGAAATAATGTGCTCAACCAAAGACATAACAAAGAGAGCTGGGATGTGTGTAACACTCAAATTTATAGGATGCTCCCTGGTTCTCAATGACAAATTTTAGCACAGGGGAAAAATGCATAGATGTTTTGACTAAGCCTTCTTCAGTCAGACAGTGCCTGTGGCAACTTCTTAAAAACAAACAATGTTATATTTAAATTCACTCACAAAAACTCCAGGACTGTACATTCTTGAATACGTCAACATGCGTCAAACAAATAACAAAACAAGGATCCGCTCGTCAAACACATCATCAAACATGCAAGGTGCAGCAAGGGGCCAAAAGCTCAGCAGGGAACCCATGACTGTGAGTGAGTTTACTTCTAAAGGGTTCACTAAGTGGCGCCCTGCAGTCGGAGGTGTTGATTCACATAACTATAGATTATATAAGCAAAGTGAGCCATATAACAATGTCTGATAGAAGTGCAATGATTGGTATATTAATTTGAAACTTTTTAAAATGTATATTCATTATTATCAAAGCATTTACATCCTTTATAGAAGTGGCTTCAAACTTGTGCAGAATGAAAAATAAGTGAGCAAATATCATTAGAGACACAGCCTACATCTTATTAAGATGAACCAAGCATTTGTCATCATATGGTATAAAAGGTGAAATAGCATGTTAATAACACACAAACGTTTCCATTGCCAGATTGGGATATATACAGCAGGCGATCAGGTTTCCCGTAGGTTTTTTAATTACAAAAATAATAACATAATTATTTAACGACTCTAACTTCCTTCATGTGTTAAATAAGTTAAGAGCCTCTGTAAATCAATTGACTTTATTACACTAAGATATTTCACCCAGTGATAATGACATTGTCCTCCTGGATACATATGAAAGGTTTATATTACAGCTGTCAAATTACATGATACAATGTACAGTGTTACAATGTACACTTTGTTGTACTTCTCAAATATGTAGGAATGAGGACAAAACCTTATAGAATGAAGTCCAGAGTTTTATATTTAAAAGAGAGTTAGGTGCATAGTAAGTGAGTTAGACAGAGGAGATAAAAATGCAAACATTGTTAATAATGTAATTATTACAATTAAATGAATGTAAAATTTGGATTATTAAATATTATGGGGTACTGTATTAATTAAACTAAATAAAAAAAGGGGTGGTTACATGTCAACCGAAAGATCTCTGAAACATTACTATATAACATTTCCATATTTTATTATATAGCACTGAAATTTGTCAAATAGTTATTTTCCATTCGCACGCTGAGCTCATCATGACATCAATTCCAACTATTTTTACTTGAGATAGATTAAAGAGTAATGATTCATCATGAGCCCCCTGCCCAGATTCTTATTCTGGCAGTCCATCAGAGCACTGCATAATGAGCCAAGGTTTAAGGGTGTGTTTTCTTTTTTTTTGGGTGCCATGCTATGCAACCGATGTGATCATCAGTGTAATGTACCTGTCAATATATACATCCAGATTTCAGTACCTGTCAGAAAAGCTGTAGACCAGTTTATTACAAGGTAGCACCTCACTGGAGGCGGCTCTTGACTGCAAAGATTTTGGCAGCAGAGATTTGCAGGAGACGTGGTTCCCAACATAATTTGTGTAGCTCATATTAAAATTCCCAGCCAAGTCTCTGGCATTTAACAAAGTGTGTTTAAATATCAGGAGAATGCAGATCTGGAAGAAAATGGGTTTTTTAATTTTTCCTAAATGTCTCTGAATAATAGACTTAATTTTGCTGAATAATATGGGACCTCATTAATTTACCATGTGATACTCCTGTTCAGAACATTAAGGACTTATTGGCAGCTGACAGCTGCTAATAAAACTGCGGCAAAACGAATCATCGAACAAAGATCATATTAAAAAAACAATAACTTTAATTGGGTTGCCATTGAAAAATCAATACCTGCAGAAAAAGCCTTGTTTTCAATAGCAGTTTTAATGTGTACTCATGTACTCAATCAATACCTTGTAAAGCTAAATCAAGTGAGCTGGTGATGACATTCATCATTTGATCGCCCAAGGTGCCACTGAAAATAAATAGATGCAGTTTACGAGGGGGGTCTCTTAATACAAAGCTGAATCCATTAACCCAAGTATTGATTGCTTTTTGCCATGGACATCTCTGGTAATGGAGGAATTGATAACATCAGATATTGCTGTTCTTCCCCATTCACCTGTTCTCCGATCATCTCCCCTTCCAGGAACAGGTGGCGTTGCAGGGAAGCAAAGAAACTCCACGAGGCACCGGTGTGGACTGTGCGGCGCTCACCTGCATGGTCCAGCTGGCTCAGATTATCGTGGGCGCGGGGCTCGGCGCACTGGTCAACCTGGCAGGAAGCGTAATCGTGGTGGTGCTCTCGGCCTCGTCTGTGTCTCTGTTAGGCTGCATCTTCATAGCCCTCTTCATCAGATACGTGGAATGATGCTGCTAATATAAAATGTATTTTAAATGGTATTTGTTTTAATAAATAAAGATTCTTTATTATATCTATAAAAAGGTCTTTGATGTTCGATTCCTTTAATTTCCAGAGGGGCTGTATGTGAGAACCCAAATGTCCAAGTCAGTTGCTCTGGACATTTTCCGGAACTTCTCCCGCCAGCCCCCTGGTAAAAGGTACGGAAACCGCCAAGTGAACTTATGTGAGAAAGCAGCAGGAATATGTCTGGAAAATTCACAGGGAACAAGTGGGTTTGAGGATGTTCACGCAACGGACGCCAACCTCAAAAAACTAAAACAATAAAAATAATCTCAGGATGAAAAAGAGGTGTCGTGTAGAAGACGCCGACGAAGATGAGAGGACGAGATTTGGGAACGTTTGGCGATAAAGGCCAATGCTGCTGGCAATGTGCTGTAAACAAAAACATGTGATTCCTGCAGGAAAATGTGTTTTTGCCTGCCACCACATCCTCTCATCAGGTGCCACCCCTCGTCTGAATGTTCCTGACATTTTCCTGATGTTGTGTACGCGTCTGACCCTGATGACCTCCTGCTGCGTTCTTCTTATGTAAATGGAAACTCCAGAAATGTCCAGACCCAATTTTCTGGAAATTTTTTGGAGTTCATGTCAGAAAACAGCGCCAGGGTTTGTCACCAGTGAGGAAGCCAACAATTATTTATAATAGATGTGCAAAACCTTGTCCCCTCTTATAATGAACATTCCTTTGAAAAATATTTTAGCTTTCTGCTGCTTCAGTTTGATGTTTGAACTTCACTGAGCACAATGATGGACAGCATATTCAGAGTCTGGCACTAAAAGCCTGTTTTTCTCTGCTAATGCTCACAATCATATGAATATTATGTTGTATCACTAGAACAGCCGATGTATTTTGAAATATTTTATGAGGTAACTGATCTTATTTTTTAAATAACCACATCAGTAAGAAGTCAGAGCATCTTAAAACGAGTTGAATTAGTGAAACTCCTGTGCAGTAAAAAATACAGTGACAAATACGTGGTAACCAATGAGCTCCAGCACTCTGTCAGCTGTGGGAGATTCAGATTTACTGAATCGTGTGGAGAACAGACGCTGTTTTTCTCTGCTGCCTCCTCATTATATCTATGCTTCTGCTTCCAGGCAGAGGGAGAGACATCAGTAGCTCCCTCAAAGCCTATTTTCCCTCTTTTACTTGTAACATACTGACATCTATAGAGACAGCTGCTGTGTCTAATGACACCACAAATATTCCCAGCCACATTTCCCAGGCTTTGAACATTCATCACTGGGAATCTGGCACTTCAAATGTGTTTTTCCTATGTAAACCTATTTTTAGGTACAAATAACATCTAAACATGTTTGAAAAATGCATTTCCAAGCGTCTCCTGCAGGACCCTGGAGATTAATAAAGAGATTAGCTCAATTATCCTCCAATTACAGATTAAATGCTTTGTGTGTGTGAGTGTACACTTATTTCTGTTGCCTGTTTAGGACCTTTTCCAGCATAAATACTGACCTTGTCAGGACCTTATCAGGACCAAAGCCTGGTCCTCTCGACAAAAATTAGAGGCACAACATCATTTCTGAGCTCCTGGCTAAGGTTTGGGGTAAGATTTGAATTGTGGTTATGTCTGTGAGGACACTCAGGTGTAGACGTTTTATTCACTTGAAATCCGATTAGCCTGTGGAATATGCATAGAATTTGCCCCGAAGCTTTTAGTTAAAAGAAATTAAACTAAAGCTGTGTTTTTCTAAAGCTGTTGATTGTTAAAATGGGAAGAAATGTGCGACTCCTATCTTTGTCAGATTTGCATGTATGGTTTCATGAGATTTTTAATTTTGAAAGCAGAATTGAACCATGGCACTTGATTAAATCCTGGCCCTTCTGTTAAACCTGGTGGTTAAATTATCACTCAGTGCTGAGATCCACAAGGACAAGTACCTTCTACTGCAAACGCTGCATTAATATGTTAAAATTATATTAAAAGTCACTGGTTATATTAATTCACATATTCATGGATGAATTAAGGATCACAGAAGTAATACCCAGCTTTAACTTACATGGTAAAAGGTGATGAACACATTAAAACCCTAGAATGTTCATAATTTCACCATTAACCCAACAAAACACAAGGTTCTGTGTTTCAGTGGATTATTACTGGTTTGAATTCCTGCAGAGAAATTAAATTAATGTTGTGCTGGATTGAGATATGAAAAATGTAATTTATATTAAGTCCAACAACTCACCTTCTGAAGTTATTCTCACTTGACATTTAAAAGTGTATGCACTTGCACTTTTTTGTGCTTTAACTGCAAATATAAATAGCAATCAAGGATTGTGAGATTAAGCTCTTTCTAAAGGCAAATTCCCTTTTCATTTACTAGGATAGAGAGGAAATTAGAAGTTAATGGTCTGTTTAGGATGACCCAAAATTCATTTAGAAGTGATATTCACTTCATTTCAAGGGAGTTCTGCATAAACTATGAGACAATTATTTTTTAAATGTGCGTGGAGTGTGGCTGATTTTTAACAATGTTTCTCTCAAATGTGTGCACAACCCCACATGTTTCCAGATGCTTGATCATGATAAAAAAAAACACAAATGCTCTCAAAGGTCAATTTACCAAATATCAGCCAAAATATGGATCCCTGGTGCCAGTTACATCAATATGGGCCACAGATCAATTTATTTACAATATTTACAACAGAAAAATCTGAGCTATCGACAAATTAAACTCCCTGAGACAAGAATCATTAAATATAATTATGAAACAATGATGAGCTTCTCTCCTTGTGTTTATACAAATGAGTGTAAGAGAATGGTATTACAATCACTTCAGAACATCACTTTAGTTAATATAGTGTAATGTAACTGCTATAAATCACCTTTTGGAGTGTTTGGTGAGCAGGCGATCTTTTACTTTTAACACCATAGGCTCATGACACATTCATTATTTATATTAGGCATCCATTAACGTTTTCTAAAACAATTATCATAACTGTGTGAAACTTGTTGGCTCAAACATGAGGACAGGGATTCCTTTTGCTGAAGAACTGAGCGAATGAATGAATACTGGCCACAAGTACACACACTGTCCCTCTGAACAAAGACAGGGACCAGCAAACTGCTTTATGGTGTCGATGCACTTCTGATATTTTCGACAAATATGTCACGAAAGACAATGTCCTCCGCTCTTTTATTTTTATGAGTAGCTGAGAGAAAAACCACAGACGTGTATGCGAAGTGCGCAAAGTGACAGACAAGCAGGAGCCAATGTGATTAACTCAGATGGTGGTGGTTTACAGGCCAGTTTCTGTTTGCGCTCTTCTCGCCAATTACGCACATCCAACTTGGACGCACACTGCAGCCCCTCCGCCAACTATGAGAGATTCACCATTAACATAAATACATATAATAAAACACAGTCAGTGGCACTTTACACTAAGTGCTGTTTTGTGGGAGATCTCGTCTGTCATTGTACACCACTGCCCCCGGAGGATAAAACACAACAGGGGCCTCCTCCGGCGCGCTGATGGGGACCAGGACTTGTCCTTGAGCGTCCGTCTCTGGCTTTGTCGTGGCTGTGATCGGCCTTATGGTGGCGAGGGTCGGCGAAGTCATCTGCCAGAAGAGTTTTTTCAGCGCTTTCCTGAACTCCCGCCTCATCAGGCAGTACAGGATGGGGTTCAGGCAGCTGTTGGAGTGCGCCAGGCACACGGACACGGGGAAGACGTACACCTGCGTGGTGTAGTACTCGTAGCTGAAGTGGACCACGTTTAGTTTGATAAGGATACCCCAGGCTGTGAGCGCCTGGTTGGGCAGCCAGCAGAGGAAGAAGGACAGCACCACTATGGTGACGGACTTGGTGACCTTGGCGCGGCGTTTGGCGCTGGAGGTGTTGATGTTTTTGGAGGTGATAAAGCGCAAGAGGAGCAGGTAGCAGGCGGAGATGATGCCCAGTGGCACCACGAAGCCCAGCAGCACTTTCTGAGAGTGATAGAGCCCGAGCCAGAACTGTGCGCTCCCGTTGGTTTCGGGGAATTTAACGAGACACAGGTCCTCGTTGGAGACGGTGACGGTTGTGGAGAAGACTGCGTGCGGCAGCGCGGCGGAGACAGCGGCGAACCAGATGAGGACTGTGATGCAGCGCGCCGAACAGCAGTGCGTCCGCCGCCGCCTGCCCTTCAGCGCAGAGGCGAGCGACCAGTACCTGGCCACGCTCATGGCTGTGAGGAAAAACACGCTGGCGTACATGTTCATGGCTGTCACATACGAGACTATCTTGCACATGGCTTTGCCAAAGAGCCAAGTGAAGTCCAGCGCGTTCTCCACCGCCCAGAACGGCAGAGTCAGCACGAACTGGAAATCTGTCACCGCCAAACTTGTCACGAAAAGGTTGATGGAGGATTTCTTCCACACGCGTTTGGACTTCATCAGGTACAGAACCAGCAAGTTCCCGACCAGACCGAGCGCGCAAACCAGAGAGTAAATGACTGAGATGATAATCCTCACAACCGCGGCTCCATCTCCCACAAAATCCGTTTTCCCGAAATCTGACAGGTGGAAACTGTCAGCGGAGGATGAGCGGTTGGTCGCGTTAAAAACGAGGCTGAAGTTGATCCCTGTTCCCGCTGAGTCTTCGAACATACTGTCGATAAATTCTCCAGACATTTTCACTTGATCCTCAGGTGAAATTCAGTAAACTCATGACTGTAGATCCTGGATAACTAAAACCACCCTTGGATTTTACGCACTTGAGCAAGCCTCAGTTTTAATAAAAAAGAATATCTATAAATACATTAAAGACAGTGCAAACTTTCTGTGAATCAATGAAAAAGACAAAATCAAAGAAATGCCGCTGTGTGGGCACAAGAGCTGCTCATCAGGGCGCAGCGTTGCTATATGAGCTTTTCTCTGCGCGTCTCAGCACTTCAACCGTGAAGAAAGCGTCCTGACGCAGCGCCCAGGCGCAATCTGGAGCCTGGTTACATGCCATGTGGTTTAAAAAGAGGAGGGAGGGAGGGGGTGGGTTCGTTACTTTCAATTTGGCTGCCCATTGATCCCTCTTTGAATTGGCCGAGGTTCAGCAGTGTATAAGACATACAGATGCATCAGTGTTGCCCAGTGTTCACCTGGCAGGATGGCACAGATGAAAAAGAGGGTGCAAGGTGGTTAGGATGAGAGGAAATCATTTAAAAGGGGTGGGACAGGGTTGAGGAAGGATGAGGTGGTGACCAGAGAAAAAGAAGAGGAGAGGTGAAGGGACGAGGGAGGAAGGTAACTTACATTCACAGTGAGGTATGGCAAGAATAAAGGGTAAAAATATCACCTATGAGCCACAAATAATGCACAAATAATATAAAACAAGCAATAGCACGTCACCTCTCTTTCTATATATATATATATATATATATATATATCTTACAATTTTAGTATTTCATCCATCCATCCATCCATCCATCCATCTTTCAGTACCAAGGTCCTGCATTCAATATAAGTGTTGATAAATTAAATGTAAGTATTAAAGTTTCCTTGACTCATACTGTTTATGCCTCTGTCTTATTATTACAGAAGCATAAACATTGTAATGTTACATCTGGTTAAGATGTGACTAATGATGTGTCACATAGTTTGTCATGCTCATTATGAGGTTTTGAAATGAATCAGCAAAAGAAATTTGCAACAATGTCAAACATATTTAGAGCAGTAAAAGGTATAGACTATTATTTCTTATTGTCTTTCAATCTTAGGACATGATCCATTATGATCCTCCTATCCCAAATCGATAACAATGAATTCAAAATGAAAACATAGCTGTACATTTCCCTCTGAAACTCTGAAATAATAGTCGTGGTAGAAGAATAAAGCTTGAAATGGAATTTTTGGTTAAGTTCCATAAAATTGCACTTCAGGAAAATACCTGAGCAAATGTACCTTTCTTAAATTCCATCATTGACTGAGTTTAAATATCTGAGGGCTGTTATGTTTTGCTGACCTCCAGTGGTGGTCATACAAACTACAAAAACAAACATGGGACAGGGGAGGATACAGGACACTCGATCTGACTGAACAACTCCCCTCGCTCCTGTCCGCTGCTGATCTGTGTGGTGCAGTGTCTTTCAGTCAAACTGTTTGTTACTCAGCTGTTGCCGCCAGCAGCTTGCAGTGAAACAACAGGAGAACAGATGCAGCCATTAGCAGTCAGTGTGAATCAGTGCGTGTCATTCCAAGGTCTGATATCCACTACAAGTCCACTGGAGCTTACAGTTGCAGTCAGTTTGACGTGTTTCAAAGTAACATGGCAGCTTTATGGAAGAGATTTTTACTGCGCCTCTGCTCCAAATCAAATATCCACAGTATCTGTCTGTCTTATCAGCCTCATATTTCCAAGTCCTGCAGGCACACCCCTTATATAGAAACTCCAGCATTCCACAGCTGTCACTGTTGTGATGGCAGCTGGGCACAGGCCACCTGGAATTAGGTTAAAGAGAAGAGATTGTTGAATTAAACCTTTTAGATTAGTGCAACCTTCTGAAGTTCAGTTTGGTTCTAAAAATACCAGTAGCTATGGAAAACATCAGCATCACCTCTCAGCAGTGTCATTAGTGTATAGCTGTGCTTTCATTTGCATTTTGATTAATTCTCCTCAAAGTTAACTTCACATTGGCCCTAGCATAGATGAAATGAAATACGCTCCATCTTTCCGGCATTCTGAGAAAAGCAGTGCACGGCAACAGAAGCCAAGTGCACATTAGTGAGGTCCCTGCTTCTGCTAAATGAATTACAGCTGGCGCACAGCGAAACGCATTAACTTCCACCAGGAGCTGACCAAAACAATTAGTAATGTGTGGTTAGAAGCATTAAACTTGTTAATGGTAACTAATGATGAATTACACGTCAAACATTTCAATGTATTGATTGATGTTATCGATTCATATCGATTCAAAATGTGTTCATCACTAAAACCCTGAAAAATAAAGACACAGCTTGCAGGGAATCACTGCTTCTAAAGAACAGAAAGAACGAGCAGGAGCCAGTAACTGAGATGAATAGTTTTGGGAAAGACTCGTATTTGTCTGCCAAGAGTCAGATAAGACGATCCACAGAGCTCTCGTGTCTGTGCAGGTGGTCAGCTGGGCTTATCTTAGCATAAAGACTGGAAGTGGGGTGAAACAGCCAGGCTGGCTCCATCCAAAGGTAAAAATAGAAGTGAAACTAATTAGATCACTTTCTGTTGTGTGCATGCACCTGTCTAATGGTTTCAAATTCAAATCTTGATTTTGAGTAAAAGCCCCAAAAAATTATGAAACTAACAGTCTCATAATACATAACACAGTAAAGCTGAATTCAATACCTTAAATAATCATTACACTTGCTGTGTGTATCCATCTCATTCATGTAAATCTTCACAAACTGCCTAGTTCAGTTCCTCACACCCACATGTTTTAAAGAATACATTGGCAACAGTGTGAGTATCAATGAGCAGGGATGAGATAATTGCCGATACTCTATGTTCACACTCTTAACGCAGGAATTTCTTGGCTCTTGCTCCGGTCTCCAGTTGGTGATACACAGCACCATAGCAACGACACAATAAAAACCGTAACCAAAGTACAATCTCCTTGCCTCTTTGTTTGTGTAGAAATACTGCAGCTATAACTAACATGAATGTGGGTCTCATTTGTGACATTTTCTGTTCAATTCTTTTCAATCATTTAAACGGACAGCCAATACACGATAGACATATTTATTAACGGAAAGATCAGGAGCCGACTTCACCGACTCCCTCCTAAATGTCCTCATTCTACATTTAGATGCAGAATTAATGCACACACAGACACACGTCACTGGCAGTTTGGAAAGTGTTTCATACAGTGGAGCACTTTCACTTTGGCCAAGCCTCTGCACACAGGCTCAGCTGTTCTGCCGCTGCAGCTCGGAGGCTGGCCGGCTCCAAATACAGATCAAAAAACCCTCCAGCACAAGTTCTCCTTGTCCTCGTCCTCCTCGGCCGTCCAGACCTGCGACCTTTAGTAATGCTGGAGACTCTTCTTGCATTGCCTGTGTTTACCAGTAACAATATTCTACGTGAGTTTCCTTGGAGACATTGCTGTGCACAGAGGAATAAGTGATCAATACGATTTTTACTGTGCATTTGTGAAATGACACCAAAGCAAAAAAAAAGTAAACAAAGTAGACGCTGTAGCTGCTGGTGCTCGTATTTCTCTACATTCAATGATTTATAAACCTGACATAGTTCCCCGAAGAGAACATGGACTGAAGTCTTCTTCCTCTCAGTCTCAGTGTTTCAGCGTTTTTTTCCAGAATAGCAACAATGTAATGAGAGCTGTGCAGGCAGCAGTGGCAAGCTTCAAGTGCTGATAATGGAAAAAAGTGTCCTTGTCAGCGTACAACCAGCCTGACACTCATCCCCAACTGTTTATCATAAATCCATCTTTGTCCCCAAGTTTCCAAGACAGGCCGTCCTTTAAGAGAAGGGGTGCAAACTTCATGTGCTCCAGCTTGATAGAACACAGCCAGAGACATATTTTATCCACAAATGCCCCTCCTCTGAGCGGGCCTCCGTCCTGGCTAGCGCAGAGACACAATGCTCCCATTACTGTGAGACGAAACGCAGCAGGTGCCACATGAAGGACAAATCCCCTCATATCTAAACAGTTCCCAGACACACACAGATTCATGAAGACTCCTCAAACGTTTGTTTCAGGCGGCTCTGTTGAGTCTGGTGTTGGGATCGTGTGTGGCGCTCTGGTGTCCATCATGTTGAGCTTCTCTGACACGTTCCTCGGTTCTTCCCTCCGTCTTCCCCTCCACCAACACAATCTGCAGCTACGACTGTCAGAGAAATAAATAAATCAAACACCGGTGCCATGTGCTTATAATCCATATGCAGCAGAAATAACAGAAAGGTCTGTTTTGAAGGAATAGTTCCACATATCAGGAAAAACACTTGCCAAAGTTAGATAACTGGGTAATTAAAGCTCCAAGGAGGCACAGTGGAGCAGTGGTTAGTACTGTTGCTTCAAAGCAATAAGGTCCTTTATGCAAATCCTAGTTCCTGAATGTCAAATTATTCCTGAACATTAACACACACACAGAAAGGCTTACTGTGAACAGAAGAAGATGAACACAATGAGAAGAATGAGCAGCACGAGCCCAGCAATGACGCATGCAATTATGATTTGTCGTTTCTCTCCTCTCCGCCAGTCCAGGTCCAAATATTCACACCTGAAGCCAACGTAACCATGCTGACACCTGGGACAAGACAAAACTTAACATTACTTTCATAGCTTTAATGCTCATGTGATTTTATGTCTGCCTGCTATTTGTCTGCTTTTCCAAATATGGTTGGACATCCCTATTCAAAACCCATTATATTGCAAGAACGTAACAATGTAAACAGCCTCACTCAAACAGTTTCTCTTTCCTCCATTCTGTATTAGGATAATTTAAATTTGTTGTTGGCAGGCTTCTCTTTTCCCTCCTGTATAACAATTTGCATTTACCTCGTTCTAGTTCTAAATCGTTTTCTCCATCTTTCAGCAGCAGACGTTTCTCACCTGCAAGACGGTGCCTTCTGTTCTTGAAGGTAACGACACTCCCCATGGATACAGTAGTGCTCTAGTTCCTTGGGACATGTTGAGAAGTGGCCGCTCCATGGGTCTCTATCTCTTGGGTCTGCAGGAGAAATCAAATTATAATTTCCAAATTGTGTTCCAGATAAGTTAATTTGTTTTCCTGTTTAAATTTGCTCGTTGTATGCAAAACGTTTGGGAACTCTTGGGCAGTTTTTCAAGGGAAAGACAGTTAATACCTCCCATTCAAAATGAATCCATCAGTATTTTGGGCATCCAACCAAATCAGTACTTAAGAAATCCCCTTGGTATCTTGCCAAGTGTGAGAGGATCAATATCCCTCTCCTGCAGTATACATTTGTTCATTGTAACCCTGCAGCTGGCAACAGGATCGACATCTTCAGGCCTGAAAACGAGGAAACAGCTGGACGACTACAAGTACAAATGAGCTCTGCTACAAATAGTCCCACAACACAAATCCTCATCAAATTGCACCTGTAGTGCTGGTAGGTGACGTCTTGTACGTTTGGACAGAGCTGGGCTAGCTGTTCCCCCTGCTTGCACTATGTAAATATTATTGCTAGAGGGCTTTATCGCTTGACCATAAGTGTGCATGTCATTGTCTCAATTGACTTTGGGTAATAAAGCAAACAAGCTAACATCTTAAACTTATTTTAGTTGTCACGTTTTGTCAGCTTGCTTCTTTAACGCCCTCACCTCCTGACATGCTCATCAGTATCATGCTGCGATACAAATAGACCGTGTGAAATACGATCCATGGGGGAAGCCGGCCTGTTCAGAGCCAGCAAACGCCTGGTGTCATCAGGTCTCACTAATCAATTAATGTCACTCCTCACTACATGAAACACATGATGGTTTAATCTCCATTTCATACCTATAGCCAGCTAACAAACACACAGTAAAGCACACCCTGCAGCTGCTGATCGGCCATAACGTTGACCTTATGACCACCACTAACACCCAGTCCTTCTTATACCACAGGTCGCCGCTATCTTTACAAGTCATTCCCGTGAGATTATATTTGAAAGCATGGTTGTAAAACAACACTGCTGTTCAGGTGACATCAATGAGAGCGCTTCAGTTGTTCGCTGCAACACGAGACGCGGCCTGCTGCCACGACCTCAGCGCTCAAAAGATAAATATCCAGTTACAAAGTTTAAAGGAATAACTTGGGAAACACATGTACGTTTATTTCCTTTCTTAACAAGAGTTGGTTTAGATGAGGATAAAAACAATTGTGTATGTCGAATATTTAGAAAGAATGAAACGTAAAAGCAACATTTTGTGGTTTAAGAGAGATGAAATTATGTTTCCCCCCATTTTCATTTTCTGAGAATGAGCAAATGAGAATGTTATCAATCGTATTACTTTGTATGTCCCAAAATAATATCAATGAATTGAAGTGAATTTTGATGATGTTTTACACATTGCTGAATTAAAATGCGCTGCACCATGAGAATGACTTATTATCTGAATGAAGTCCAGCAAAAGCCAGGAGTTACAGCTTTATATTCAACTGCACCAACAGACAAAGCTACAACAATGGTGTCCAATGGTCAAATTTCATGACCAAAAAATGTCCGTTCAGACATTTCCCACTCCTTTTAACTGTATGAACTTACAGTGAAACTTGTGGCCCAGTGCTACATGCAGTGATACAAACCATTTATCTCGTCTAAATCTGCAACAATGATGAAATATCTTTTGTACTTAAAACTGTAACTATTGGGATTTCTACTATGCCACAATGAATTCTTGTTTACGAAGTTTATTGTCTTGATGAGGTAGCAATTCAAGGGTCATATGATTACTAAAGACTATATTTAAAATCTCACTAGTCAGACTTTCAGAAAGACTTTAAGTTCAAACTTAATGATGGATTTATGAATAGCTGGTGCAACCCAGTCCAGGTGTCTGGACAGTCTCCACAATTAAACGCCTCTATCTCTGTGCTTTTCCCAAATTCTTCCTTTCCTGTGAGATGTACTTATTTCAATATGTGTTTGATTATTCATATCCACATATTTTCTTTGTCCATTCTTATATTAAATCACCATCTTGAACTTTCCATGCAACCAGCCTTTTGTGACACTGCGGAGGAACCCGCCGCTCACCTCCTGTCCATATCTACCTGTGCAATTATCTCCATTGTCATGGTGATGACAGTGGTCTACAGTTCCATTGGTGGACTCCACGGTCGCGTTCCCCTCTGCGAGGCAGTATTTGCATAAGGTCAGAGCTGCAGGTAGAAGTAAACAGAAAAGCACATCACACACACATATACACACACAAAAAGATGATACAAATTGCTAAAATATTAAAAACAATCTGTTTAATGTATAGCATCACATAAGAGATAAACATTTTAAAAATCACAATCTGAGTTATTAGCTAGTGAGTCATAATGCTAGCTATTCTTGTCAGAGAGAAAGCGGTGAATTTGCTTTTCACGCCCACTTATGTCTCATGTCATTTCGGAAGAGGGAAGCCTGTTTTGACAATGATTTGCATATATAAATACTGAACGGATTGTTAAAAAACTTATCAACCCACACTGATACTATACAAATATATCTCAGCAGGTTGAGAAGTGTCTTCAAACCTGACGGGCCTGCTTTATTTAGAAAGCATGAGGCTATTGAATAAGTGTGCCAACTATATAAACAATACAGAATTAACCCATACAGTCCCATTTTACTATATATAGTTATAAATACAACCCTCTGTTTACACGTGAGACAAATTCAAGTGAGAGGGTGAAACAACAGTAAACCTTACCTGTTATTATTCCCACATAGAGTCTATACACCGTGGCCATCTCCTCACAGGATTAAAGTGCTTATCCGAAATCTTAAAGTTCAGTGTCATTGGCGAGTAGAAGTCAAAGTGGATCAGTGCTTTCTCAGAGGTCAATGACCTTTGAAAAAGCTGTGGACACGCCGTGGAAGTTCCCCAGTGACGTGTCGTGCTCCTTCATTGATGGCGTTTAAACTCATGGTCTGTAAAGTCTGAGGCTATAATCGAAGCACACACGCAGCTCAAAGTGGCTCCCTGCATGGACTGTGACTGCGACTGCAAATACAGTGTGAGTGTGAGAATAGAAAAAAGGGGGGTGGCACTGAAACTCAACTCTGCTCTCTGCTCCCCGCCCACACCTTTAAAGGAGAACACCAGCTCCTTTCAAGCCACACAGGTTATTTCCTTGTTAGAGAGCAGCTGCACCTGTACACCTGAAACTTTCCTTGTTTTTAAGAATGAAGTGACGGGCGGAGCATTCATCTGCAACAACCTGTTCAACAGCAAAGCACTTTGCCAATGCATTTCTATCTTCCACTGATGGAAAATGCTTTTTCATGACCTCTGAAGGTTCCCGGGACCAACAGAGAGCAGATAAATGTAGCAGGACTTCCAGAATCTGAAGATGAGTAACACCACCGCAACATCTGGACTCGATCCAGACTGAAACCTGCAGGGTGCAACCCAGCTGGAGGAATATTTAGGGAACGTTTCAGTGGCAGCGACTAATGTTCTTTGCTTTTCCTGAGTAGTTTCATTTCATTACACTTTGTACTTCCACTTCAACACATTCCAGAGGGAGGGAAATGTTTGACTATTAATGATCTGGCAGGGGTTTTATTTGGCAGTTTTTCCTCATTCTTGTCGAGGGTTAAGGGCAGAGGGTGCCGCACCTTAATAAGCCCTATTAAACAAACTGAACATGTCAATACAAAATTTAAGTGTATTGGGCTGATAAAACTTTTTTTTTAACCAAGTACAATTTTAAATCCAGGACTTGAACCAAGTAGTTGAATATTTTCATTTTGGAGTTCAGTTACTTTTAAGGAAGTAAAGTATTTGAATACATTTTCCATCACTGCTGCATTTGGAAATTCAATGGTGATATTTTTAGTCTGTAAACATGACCAGCAGATGGCACAAGTCACCACGCTCCTATGAAATAAAAAATACCTTTAACCTATCCTGACACCTAAAATTGTTCTTCTAGCTGGTTTGTATGATGTCACACATATAGTTAGATTTTGTACATATATCTCTGTATGACCAGTCATCAAAGTGAAGCTAAGAATCTAATTAAACCAGCCTCTCAGTGCCTGTCGCATTCCTTTCCTATGATGATTAAATCTGCAGATGAGAAAAGGCTGAGCTGTTTGGCAAAAGGAGGGAAAACATCAGAGAGAACATGAAAAGACGTGCGCCATGAGCCAAAAACATCAAGCTGTGCATGAATCCGTTTGATTACTGTAAAAGAGAAAACTGCACAGAAAGGTTTGAAAATTCACAAACTAAATTAACCCCTTGTGAGCTGCCCAGTATTTGGATTCCTTATCTTCAACCCACGTCTCAAAACAAGTCACACTGATCCACCACCACAGCAGGAGGTTAATGAGGGAGAAATAAAAGTGAGATATTGGGTCAATATATAGAGAACCTGAGAAAAATATGAAAGAGAATTTTACTTTATATTATTATATTGCATTATATTATACTCAAAGGATGATGTCTATTTACAGAAACCGTTGAGGAAAACTACTTTGAAATGAATGAAGGAGATGAACAAAATGATAAGAGGAAATTCAAGTGACAGAACAATTTACTTGTTGTGATGCTGTTAATTCCAAAGATAATTACTATGAAGAATATGTTAAATTCTAAAACATTACTGTATCTTAAATATTTATACCAAAGCACCGCTTAAGTACAAGTTTGTTTGTTGGTGTTTTGAAGTTTCATTCTATGCTATAATAACATCAAAGAACAATGTCACATTGCAAATTATGTTCTTTCTGCAACCATTCAATTTTAGATCCCATAAGAATTATTTATGCATCCAAGAGGACATCTGATGTCCTTGGTGTGCTGTACTTTTTAATGGTTTGCAGGCAAGGAGGCACTATAGTGGGAAAACTATTGAGACCTGTCCAGAGATACTGTCCTGAGAGGAAAAGGAAGTGACAAAGAGGAGAGCCACCCCATGACTGGCTAGACATCTTTTAGGCTGATTTAGACAGAATCTGAAACTTTCTACATCTTCACATGTCTATAAATCAAGATCTGCATTACACAGTTTACATGCAAATACATACAAATAATCAGGCACTGGCTTAAACCACAAAAAACACTTAAGCATAATTGCCATGCAATTTCCAAACCATGATAATTCATGTTCTATTTCTAATCCAGCATAGCCCTGGACTTGAGTATAAGAGTATAAACACGTCCAAAAAGCTGTAAGGTTGAGAGGCTGAGTGGGACGTAAAGTCTGAGTCAGAGTGTCTTTGCAGTTTTAGACAGGAAACCCTGTTTCCTCTCTCTAGCCAAGCTCCTAACTTAGACTGAACATCAGGAAGCTCTGAGACAGAGAGATTCCAGGGTGTAATTTAGAGCCGGCCTAGAAACATCCGCTTAATCGCTTTTATGGCTCCTCTGTCCAGTGTGTACGACAGGGATCACACTAATACAGCATTGAAAAAGTATTTCAACAGAGACGATGAAGTACACAATGCTCTGTAATGTGATGAAAAATGGAATGGCAGTACAGTGATGTGGTAAAACAAGACATTTATTTGAAAATTTCTCTTCAAAAACATTAAAATATAGTAGAAAAATGGCCTAAAAAACAAAACATAATCTTCAGTGAGCAAGATGCCAGACGTGTCCACTTCTTCCTCCTCTGCAAAAAAATGCAAATCGTTTGACCCTTTATCTGAACGTCAGCAACAGACTATAGGTGAATACTGGGTGAGTAAACTTTTCTGGACTCTGACCTTCACACGACAGCACAGGAGCGTGGCTCTCTGAAGGGGTTGCTGCCTGTGGGGACTCCGACCAGCAGGGCGTCTTTGCCTGCGTTCTGCAGACAGTACTGCTGCAGCTCTGCAGCTGCCTGGGACACCTGGGTACGCAAACACACACGTTTTGTTATATGGTATGATTTTTCTGATGAGACATTCTTTTTTTAAAGGTTTTATATGCATTTATTTATGTTTTTATTAATACATAATTTAATCACATTTTATAGATCAATTAACAACCAATGGTCGTAATTACTTTTGGGTTGCCAGATTGCAGAAAATGGAAACAAACTTTCTTTATATTTTCAGCTCTTTACATCATTAGGGAGCGGCCTCCAATCAAAGTTTTGACCACTTAATTAATGTTATACCATCAACTGTCATCTTGATGGATTACTGTAAGTTTTCCTTTAATTCATTTTCATTAAATTTCTAAATGTAAGAAACTGATGAAGTGTTGCTGGCTGTTAATTAGAAAATGAGAAACTTGACCGTTTATTTATGGCTTGAAGACATGATGATGTATCAGTGAGAAACTCCTTACAGTTTATCATCATCTCCCTCATAATAAGGGGGGCTCCATAATGAACTACAGACGTAAAAAGATATAGAAAGTTTGACACTTGAGGAGGGGTAACCCAAATCTAATACTTTTTAATGGCTTACAGAATCGAAAGTAAAACATCCTACTGTCACTTGTTACATCTAATTTTCATTGGTAAGTTTCAGTGAAATGTATTTTTCTTTACCTTGATTCGTTCCACGCTGGCCTCAAGCTTCAGTTGTTCCACCAGCCGTCGCATGTTGGATAAATTGGAATTAGACGTCATGTTGTTGAGAAATTGTTTAGGGAAAGAAGAATTCCTTGTTTAAAAAAAAAGTCCCTTCGGTCTTTCAACGCAGCAGTTGACTCCACTAATGGGCAGAGAAAGCTGGACAAGAATAGAGGGGCTGGGTTTCCTTCCAAATGACCTCAGTCCTTCACTTCTACAGAGACAAGGAAGCACACTGCCCTCCTCATGCACTTTACACACACACACTTTGAAATGGCCTTTGTGAAATAAAACTGTAAGGGACTTTCAAAGATTTAAGAACCCATTACTACAATATTTTCCCTTTTCTATAAATGTTACCTTATACATAAACATTGCATTAAATTCAATTAATTAAATTGTTTAATTTTTCATTTTTGTAAACGTTTTCATCAATAGGTTTATTTTATATTTTATTTATTCTTTTCTTAGGTTATTCCTACCTCTATATATTACAAATATACCACAACCTGAAATGTTTACTGAGTTGTTAATATTATAAGACCTTATAATGAATGTATTGTTACTGCGCATGCGCCAGTGTGCTGCTTTAAAGTCCAGTGTCGGTAAAAAATGGCGAAACGTTAGTTTGAGGAGAAACAGTGTTTGTCGAACACGCTGTTGTGTTACGTTGTCACATTGTGTTTTCATCACATTGTGTGTTTTCGCACACATACACGTGTTTTCTGTTGTTAAACCTCTGACTCAGAGAGAACGTACCTCACCGCGCGTCTCACCACGTTGCACAACCCGGAAGCCCAACCCGGAAGCGTTGTGCTGTCGAAAGTGTGTCTCTTCCCTGACGACCACGTGCTCGACGGACAACAACAGTGTTTTCTCGCGCCCTCATTGGTCCACAGGTGATTACCGGGATCGGCTGTAAGTAGATTCCACAGAGAGGTGAAGGTTTAAAGAAAGTGGGTCAGACTTGTTTCAGAGAGACATCACTTCCTCGTCCTCTTCTTCTCCCGGTGAACAACGTGGAGGTGTAGAAGAGAATGAGTTAAACTAAAGTTGGACTGTTGTTGTGAGGAGCGGGTCTTGAGGGTGGGGCAGCCATGGTGGAGGTGTTCACCGGGAGGACCCTCCTCAACAAAGACGGGGACTTCGTGGACCCGGAGGAGGCGCTGAGGAACAAGGTGGTGGGGATCTACTTCTCTGCCGGGTGGTGTCCGCCCTGTCGGGACTTCACCCCCGTCCTGTGTGACTTCTACACGGAGCTGGTGGAGGAGGGCGAACCTCCGGCACAGTTCGAGATAGTGTTCGTCTCCTCCGACAAGACGAGCGATGACATGGTGGAATATTATCACGACATGCACGGAGACTGGCTGGCTCTGCCCTGGACCGACGACTACAGACAGTCAGTATTACAATGGAAGTCAATGATTTAACTTTGAACCTCCAACAAACAGAACTCACTGCAATCAGCTGTTCTTTATTTGTCTTATATCTTATTAGGATTGAACTCGATTGTCTATACTGAGAATTAGGCTGTGCTCCAGATTATGTAAAATGCTTGAGAGGGTCACCCTGTCTGGGATTAGGGTTATCTGAGGACTCAAACTTCATCTAAAGCTGATTTATAGTCTATTCAATGATCATCTTCTGCCTTATTCTTTTTTTTAAATTAGAGCTGGGCAATATCAATAATAATCACAGTGTAATTTCACATCAATGGCAATATAACACATTTTTTGTCTTTTAATTAGAGCGAGGAAATAAAACAATATAAATGATAATCCCGATATGATTTTCATCATAGCAATAAAATAATTCTGCTTATGTATTGTATAAGCACATTGATGACGTGTAACACAGCACAGATCAGTCTACAACTGATTTGTTTCATTATGGATTCATCTGCTGATTATTTTCTCAACCAATTAAAGGGAAATGTCAGAATCAGAGTTCCTGAGTATAATTAGATTTCTTCAGAAGTCTTGTTTTGTCTGCCAAGAAAATCATATTTGACGAAGAAATGCAGCAAGAAGAAGCTGACATGATTTCTATTTATCCTCCTAAAGTGAGTGAAGCCATTAATAAGCATTAAAAAGAGTTGATGATCAATTCCTCATTAATCAACGACTAAATCAATTAGCTAATTGTTTCAGATGTTTCTTTGGGAGACAAGCAGTATTTTAATCCTATAGCCAGTCAATATAAAGCCAATTTTATTCTTTATATACTTCAGATTTGTACATAAGTACAAATACAGTGCTATAAGTACAGAGTAAACACAATTCAACTTTATGTTCCATCCCCTTCAAGGATTAATAAGAAGCAGAGCAGTAGAGTTCTTCCATGTGTATATAAACATTTGTCCTGTCTCTGTTTTCTCTCAGTGAGTTGAAGCAGCGCTACAAGATCACAGCGGTGCCCAAACTGGTGATCGTGAAGGAGAACGGTGATGTGATCACGGACAAGGGCCGGAAACAGATCAGAGACCGAGGCCTGGCCTGCTTCAGGTCCTGGCTGGACGCTGCAGAGGTCTTTCAGAACTTTAAGGGTTAGGAAACAACTTCACGTTAGGTAACTACAGCGAGAACTGAGCGAAACCAAAGACTTCCTGTGTCAGGGGTTAAAGGGATAAGAAGGATCCAGAAGCATTACTGTTACACAAAAATCTGTTTAATTACTGAGATTTTTTTTTTTTTTTTTTGCTTTTTCTTGTTAAATATTGGACACATAAACTCTTAAGCACTGTAAAATCCTGCAAAAAGAAACACTTAGAAACATCATTAGATCTTTTAGTTTGTTTTTAATCAAACATCCTATGCATTTAAGAGAAATCTCAGGCTTTTGTGTTGTGGGTCTTTAGGAAATCTTTTCTTTATTGTTAATAATAGAAGCCAGCTACAGTACCTTTGCAGTTCATTAAAAAGGATATTGAACTTATGTTCTTTTCAAGCTATTGCACTAATTTAACGTACAGCTAAATCTCACCTACAGTGATAGACACCTCTTGCCTTTGTATGTTTCCAAAAGTTTGACTTGTAGTTCTAAATTGAGCTGCCTTTATATTTTTTATATCCTGTTTTTTTATGAGTTGCAAAGAATGTTAACTGTTCAAAATATACATATATATATATTCTGTGAATTTTTGCACCGATTCATTTTTATTGTCTGCATCAAACATTTTGGACGTTGTGTACATCCAACGCTTTACAACCAGAGTAATTCCCCTTTGCCTCGTTAAAATGCAGAAAGCCCACAGGACATTGTTTCCAACATGCTGGCACATCCACATCCCTAATTGCCTTTTTTCCCTTGTGCAGCCTGACACTGCTGTTATCACTTTGTACATAAAAACATCCAACATGTGTGATGACATTATAATGATCCAGCTCGGGCCGACCTCTCCAGCTCGTTCTGCTGTGTTTTATTAAAAGCTGCAGATTTCAGAAGAACACCAAGTCACACCAGGTCGAGCCCAGAGGCTTTGTTCATTTACGTCGTCCTTAATCACAGGCGTGTCTCCGAGGGCTGTTCAGAGAAAGAGCTTTAGATCTTGCAGAATAAAGTGATGCAGCTCCTCGAGGAGGAATAGACGTAAAATGAAGAAAAAAGCAAATTCTGCCTCTTAGAGACACAACTGCACTTCAAAGTAGATATGTATAACCCAGAAGAAAGTAATCTTCAGTGATCCACAGTAGTTAACGCCATATTTTCTCTGGTGTGCCCCTTTTCAGATTTTTGAAGGCTGCTGTTTCATTTACTACCACACGGGGTCACTATGTTGTCATATTTGAAATCAATAAGGAGTTAATTCTGTTGATTTTTTTCTGCATTTAGATCAGTTTACCCATGATTCTCACACTCACCTGATGTGTACATAGTGCAAATACATGTCCGCAAACATCAACAGCAGTTTGATCGATTTAACGTTTTATAATTTATTCCAAGGCTCACGATGATGTGGTTTCTCACCCAATTTAAGTCCCCCACTCTGCTCCAGGTTAATGTGACTATACAGTTTGAGTTTCTGCAGCATGATGTATTTGCACTGTGATACTAATACTACACTGTTTTTATTAGCTCACTTTTCTGTCAAATCCGTGCATGGATTAGTGAGTGGGCCAAGAGGCACAGGCCCAGAGGCCCCAAGGGATCAGAGCCTCAGCATGAAGTGGCTGTTATCATTTCCTGTTGGAGAGCCAATCAAATGACCACAAATAGATGTGGGACAACATGAAAATGACGACAAGGAGGCAAAGAATAACCACACAACAGCTGTAAAGAGAACAAAATGTTTGGATTCGACTGACGTGAAAAATAACAATTAAATGGGCTGAACTTTATTTTGGAACTCTGCTATTAGTTAAAGGGACTCATGACAACAACAAAGAGACACAAGCAACTATACAGACCATTGCAGAGACAAAACAACAACAGAGACAACATAACCACAAAAAAGACTGTGTTGTGGCATAATGATCAAAAACATGACTGCAGTGAGACAAAAACAGCCAAACAAAGAAAAAAACAGAAGTACAAGAGGATGCAATACTACTGCAAAGATGCACATAAGGTTTGTAGCTGAAGGAGATGAAAAACAACCACAAGGTAAGGTTTAGGTTTCTCAAGTTGTAACTATGGTTAAAGTTGGAGTAAGACTCCCGGAAATTAATATAAGTCAAAGTAATGTCCCTCGAAATCTTATGGAGACTGTGTGTGTGTGTGTGTGTGCAAAACAAGTCAACAGCAGATTTCCACCAGCCTTGTTTGGATCATTACTTTTGAGGGTTTCATCTGAAAGCTCAAAGGTCAAGGTCAACAAGAATATATTCTCAGAAAACAGCTTAACAATTAACCCAAGTTCATTTCAGGGCCTTAAGAATCGACTGGGGGCCAGTATGGTCTAATGTGCACTTCAACACATGTGATGTTAAAACCTGGAACCTTTTTACTGAAGTTGAGAGACATCTCATGTCCAGCAACAAAGCGTTGATAAGTCCAACTAAATAATACGATATTTCAGGTTATATTCTTTAGGTGCATTTCTGAATTTACTTGGGCTACCAGGCTCTTATTTGTCCTTTATCTCTATTATTAATTTGACCATATATTATTATTCATGTTCTTATCTCTGTATTTGAATCACTTGTTTTCTTTTTGTGCAGCACTTTGTACTTTGTTGAAAAGTGCTCTATAAATGAAAGTATTATTATTATCATTACAATGTTGCTGTTGATCAGGCCATTCTGCGGCGTGAATATTTCTGGCACCATATTTACGATAATGCATTTATCGTTTCATGTGGGTAAGATTTGAACTTTGAACGTTCTGGACTGTTGCTGCTACTTTCGCTTGTGACTGAAGCAGTTCTTCTCTGGCATCATCATCATCACACTGACGTTACATGTGAGCTCTCTTCAGCTCCTCATGATATTTGCTTCCTGCCTGATTGAGAGTCTCAGATGAGTGGAAATGAAGACGGATCTTTATGTGGACTTCACATTGGGAGTCAGTCGGGACTTCTGTCCGGCTGCACCAATGAAAGGCAGCAGTGTTTCCTGCTGCTTTAACGGTGTCTTGAAGCAACTAACAAGGCCGTCTTTATGTGAGGGCAGGCGGGGAGGGAGGTGCAGAGCTGGGTGGACCGGTGGACCTGCACGGAGGGAGCGCCAGAGTCATGCTCACCGTGGTAATGACAGAGTTTCCGCTCAAAACCTTCAAAATAAAATAACGCTGCAGCTCATTTGATGGACGGCTTCAAGGCATATTGTACATCTAAGCAATCTAGTTGTTTGTCCATTAAATACCATATATTAATGTCCTCTGATATCCTCCTCTAGAGCTGCGTTCACAGTATTTTTATGCAGCACTGCACCTCCCTAATCCCAAATTAGTCATTCGCTTTTCTTCTTCTAAATTACAGGTAGTTTGAGACCTCTCAGAGATCGAACTACTAGCACATTCATTTTGGTAAACCTGTACAGTCTAATACAATAGGAAAATTTGTAATACTACTTTTCTGCCTAAAAACCTGCTTTATGTTTTGTATTGATTTATTTGACACTGCCATACAGGTTTGATCTAAAATTACCATTCAAATAGATAAATTTATTAAAATCAATGAATTAAAAGTTTCAGCGTTATGTTGTACTGGACCTCCACATATAATTTTAACTATCACATAAATAATAAACAATACATTCTCACAGATTGAGTTAGCTTTAGAAATACTTCACTGCAAAAAGAAAAGAAATACTTGGAATTGGTAACTCACAAAATAATTTACAATTGATCAAATTAAAATCAAAGTGTTAACACAATTGATCACTGTAATTTGGGGGGGGGGGCTTTCTTTAAAGTGGGCGAACAGTTGGATTTTTAAAGCCTTTATTTTGTTCACCTAAGTTCCTTGTTTTACTAGGCTATAACTGCTGGGGCCTTTTATTTTGAAGGCACTTCCGGGGCTGCTCGGCCTGTCTCCGGTCAGCTTCACGGTGCTCGGTGGTACACACGCTCACGCTGCTCCCCGCGCTCTGTGAGCTGTGGACCGGCGGAGGGCTGCAGGACGGGACCGGGGACCGGGACCGCAGCACCGGGACAAAAACAAAACCTCCACCCGGGATGGACTGAAGCAAGGCCCGCTGTTGAGAGGTGAGCTGACCGGGTGAGAGGGATCACACTGTAGGCACATGACAGATGTAGCCATGCCAATACAACCATCAGATATTAATACTAATACAAATACTAATATCTTAACAGTGTAGTTATGGTAAATTGTCACTCAGTGAAAACTTTAAGTTAATGATAAGTGATATTTATCTACTTTTAATGAGGCGGCATGAATTAATTAACGACTATCAATTGTAATTAAATGAAGTTGAATTGTTCCCATACACACTGACCAAAAAAGCAAACTCTGGCAGAAATATGTCATCTTCTGTTGTCTGTGTTTAAGCGTTTATTTATTTTCATAAAGTGATTTTTGCAAACAAATCAGTGGATTTGTGGCAAGTCCTCTATAATACAGATGACAGAATATTGTTAAGAGCAGCTGCCTTGTCAACATGTGAGTCACCTGAAAGCAAATGATATGGAGGAATTGGAGAGAACAAAATCCACCCACAGCATTTAGAAGTAGTTCCACATAATAAAATGACAAGTACTCAGTGAAAGTGGCTGCTTCTCTTAGCACACCTCACTCACATGCACATCCAGTACACACACACACACACACACACACACACAGCATACTGAGAGAGAGAGAGCAGATTTCTATCAGGGAAACAGCTCTAATCCTGTTTAGTGCCCTCACCAACAGGCACCAGCACCCTGAAATATTTGGCCTGCGAGCTGTTTTTCTCATATTTGAACAATGAAAGTGGAGATTATGGGATTTCAGGTTGTTTAGCCAGGAAGACTTTGGAGAGTGTGTACACTACAGCGCACTGTAATAATCTCAGGGTAAATGACTGTGCCTTCACCACCTCTGCGACTGATAAACTGGGGATAGACATGATGTGACAAGTGCTGACATTTGCTGGTTGTGCCCGGAAGATAAAGTTGCCCTTTTTAAGATGCTCAGTATATACTGTGTGTGTGTGTGTGTGTGTGTGTGTGTGTGTGTGTGTGTGTGTGTGTGTGTGTTATGCTGGTGTAAGGTAACACATTAGTGCAGTGAGGCTATAGATCCCTGTAAAGTGATATGATTTTGCATCTTTAGCCGATTCCAAACTAGAATATTTACACTTTGAAATTAAACAACATAATGTCGGCTTGGGACAGTGTCACATGATAAGGGGCATAGGCAATTGTTTTGTTTTGTTTTGTTTTGTATCTAAATATAATATGAGTGGACGATATCACGATTTCATTCGGGCCAACTTTAGCAACTATTGAGCAGCTATTTTTGCAGCCACATTACTCATTAAACATTCTTTTCTCCTGAGAGGTTCATTCAAAGATGATAAACCAGCAGTGCATGTCGATGGCCGTTTTCAGACATGACCTGAATTGAGTCTGGAGTTTACCCGGCCTTTCACACATGCACAACACAGCAGGAGGTTCTCTGCACAGATGCGCTCACAACAGCAACAAATCCTCCCCACTCGCCTGTGGTGAATCCAGCGGTTGTCGCATCAGATTCTCCCGACTTTCTGCTGACTTTATACTAGGCGGGCCAGCCGGAGATGATCTGCAGACCAACAGAGGATCTGCGGAGTTCAGTGCATGTCTGAAAGCAGTTTATGAATCTGGGATTGTGTGTGTTCTACGCACCACATGCATTCTCATGTCTCACAGATCAGATGACAGAATCTTTCAGGACATTTACCCAGTGACATTTCAATGGCTGTGATGTAACGTCCCTGCAGCGTATTGACAAATTACCCCTGATGATGTTACAGTCGGCTTTGCTCATTTGGATGAAGCCACTTTACAAAACTCTATTAAATCAAATGGTTCGCCACTGAAGGGTACATCGCCTCAAGGGCTGGCTGTCGCTTTCACTCACACAAACCAGCATTAAAGTGTCAACAGCAGAAGGTGGAGCGGGTTCAGTCTGCAGTTGTTGCTGTAAACATTACAAAAGCCAAAACCACAAGTCGCTCTTTACCTTCGCATGTAATGAAATAACAACCGCTGTGTGGTGGTTTACCGTCCGGTGAGAAGAGGGAAGTAATGAGCTCGGGCATCTGTGCAGGATGAATAAAATCAACTTCTGTAACACTCACATTGTCATTGAGTCACAGAAGTGAGGGTGTGCAGATACGAACAGATGTTGTTGTATTGTATGTTATCACATACTCATAATTGCTCGCTTGTAAAAATCTGACTCAGGAACTGTGAGGCATGTGAAGGGAGTGACTCTCTGTCCAAACTAAGATTTATTATACTGCACTATGATTATGTAGACATGAGCTACTGTACGTCCTATCAGAGCAGACGGCACATTGTAGTGTAATGCAGTGGTGGTTGTTTTTATATTTTTGGTTTTTGGAAGAGACAGTGTTTTGGTGTGGATCACAGATTTGATTTTTGACCACCAAACATTCAAATCAAGGTTTGTCATTCCCACTTTTCATTCTGGATTGAAATGAGAGTGACTTGTGTTTGATAGGGATCCTTTTCATTTGATTATCAAAGCATTGTGAAATTGGCTGATCCGAAGAGTTTACAGTTAAGAAACAAAATGACTGTCTCATGTATAACCTGACTGACACTGGATGTGGCTCACATATCAGGCTATATATTGGCCAACAGTCTTTTTTGACGTGGTACAACATTAGCATCTAGTTGGAGTCACTTAACAAATGTAAGTCCAATAAACTGACTGATGTTTATTGGTGTTGGTGGTGTTTCACCTGATATTGTAGCCATGCTTTGGTCTCCACCAATGTCCAAGAATATTATCTCTACCAGATGCTTCATTGGGTTCACTTTTTTTGAGGTTAATGTACAGTATTGGCCAATGGGTTTTGACATGTGAGTCACTTGCAAAATGTAAGTCCAATATTCATTGTCCCTGTAGTTATGTCTCTCAAGAATATGTGTCTCGTTATTAACCTGATGCTCCACAGTGTTCACCAGCTAGTTTGCTCTTGCTGGGCAGGTGGTGAACACTGGATTTTAAAGGCCAGTTTGCTGAAAACAACCTGGTGCACAAGAGCAGTTCATGAGAGTATAGGGAACTGCAGTGGGAGTTCAAGTGTTTTCATCCACTGTTAATGAAAAAATGTAAAAAAAAAAAAATATCCATCCGTCCATCCATCTGTCTGGGGCAATGACCCACTTTCCCCAAGGGGACCATTAAAATTTCATCAGACACTATCTAACCTATAACGGCGGAGACATGGAACACTTTGAGGACCGAAAGGGAGAAGGGGGAGGAGGGGTGAGTGGCGAACAGGACGCTTGTAGAGTAAGTAGAGGGGTGTAGTGTTTTGTAGTGTTTTTTTTTTAGGGGCCTTCCAGATGGCATGTTGACAGGAAGGAGAAACCGGCCCCTAATGAATGGGAGGGAGAATCACCTGAGGGGACAAGAGACATCAAAGAAAGCCCTCTCTTCCTCTCTCTCTCTCTCTCTTCCTCTCCTATCTCACGCTCACTCCCTGCTCTTAATTTTCTCCTCACCCTATGTGTCTCATCTAACTGCTTAGTCTTTCCCCTCCAGTAATCTGTGGGCACTCTCACAGCCTCCTTTTTTACACTAATCCTTAAAATGTATCTTAATGAATCTCTCCTCTCCTCCTCGTTTTTATCTCCCTAGGACATTCCTCATTTTAACAGTGTGCTAGTCGGGGGGGGGCAGGTTCAGACAGATCTGTCTGAGAGGACGCCTTCAACATTCACTGAGGCCAACGTGCACGTAAATGCATTAACGCCCTTGACCTTAACCTTCCGAGGCTGCGGGGAGACATGGTTAGAGAGACGTGGACAGGCGGCATGTGAAGGAGTTTGAACAGTCGGGTGGTTCGTCGGGTTGTTTGCAGTGAGAGAGTGCATGTGTATGAAAGGGGAGGGTTAGGGAGGAGGGGTACTGTTTAAAAGATGAATGCATCCATGCACTCTCATGTAAACATGTTGGCCTTAATGGATGTGAAGGGTTGAGAGACCACACATTTAAAGAGAAGGCAGAATTTGGCTTTTTATTAAATTACCAATTCAAAATTTTAACATCGATTTATTTTGCAAAACTATTGTGCTTCATATTTTTTTCCTTCACTCTCGGCATTTGTTGAAGCTACAATATTCGAAATCTATTAGGAGGATTACTCGAAACTTAAATGACTTGTGGAATCCCTCTGTGGTCGAACTCAAGTCTGAGCGATTCATTTTTCTCAATTATTCTCGTGACGTAAATGCGTTGGGAACAGTTTAAATCGGTCGAACTCCTTCCCGCTCATCATTCTGACTGCTTCTCAGTCTGCGAGTGCAGATGTATAATGTCTTTGTCAAGTGTGAGGAAAATGCCCCCTGACGGTGTCATGAGAGGTTATCTGAGTGTTTTTAAATAGACCTCGCATTTTAAACAATAACCCTGTGTTGTACGCCGGGGGAGTAGAGTAACAGATATCTGAGCGTTTATCAAGTACGGACGGTCGGACAAAGAGTCACTTTAAACTTTTTTTTCAGGGTTGACATGTCGGCATGTCATTGCAGAGAGAACACAGGTGTGTTTAAAAAGTTTAATGAAGGCTGCGTTCTGCTTAGGGAAGAAGGGAATGAAGGAAGGAGGGAGTGAAGGAAGGAGGGGGGTGTTTGCAGTTGTGGTTTCAGGCTCCTGTGACTGCAAATGCAGGCTCAGTGGAATTTGATACGTAATGCAATTAAACTGTTGATTTTATAATTACATGTGCATTTCCTGCTGTGACAAGTCAAAGTCTCTGCTGTAAAAAAAAAGTCTAATGTTTCCTTTGTGTGAAAAGCAGGATGAGGTGTTTTTGGAGATACCAGGGACTTAAAGTCATCTATACTTGATACAAGGAGTTAAAGAGGAGAGAAGAGGCTTTGCAGTAAATGGTTTTGTTATTTGTGTGTTAGTTAAAATATAAGAAAAAGGCACATTGTGAAATTTTAAATTTTCATGTTGCACAACAGAAGCAACCGATGCGGTCACAGTTTTCACCCATTAGCCCCAACATGTACTCGGGACA